ACTCGAAACTGAAAGCCACGGCGCTGCAGCCGTAGCTACAGTCCCGAAGGCCAACCTTGGTTTTGAGTTGAAAGCTACCTACACAAACCCAAAACCCCAAAGTAAAAACTTGATATCTCGAGCCTGGAATTGCAAACCTCCCAAACCTAAGCCGAACCCGACAGCCCTTACAGCACCTTCATCGTCGTACCCTGACAGGATCCTTAAACACAGCCCTAAACCCGGAGGCCCCAAACCGCGTTGTCCCCCACTCCCTCAACCAACATGCCATTCTCGCGGCATTGGCCAAAAAAGCACGAGGGTCCAACAAGAAACCCTAAACCGTAACCCTAAACCCTAAACCCCTAAGCCCCAAACCGCAAGCAGCGAGTCTGTGCCATAGGTCGCCGAGATCAAGACGGACCGGAAGTTCCAGGCTGCTATACATACTTTTGGTTAGTAGGGAATGGAAGAATGGCGGTACTAGTAGTTATAATTGTACTTCATTCCTCCATTCCCTACTAACCGAAGGTAAGTATAGGTTTTAGGGTTTAGCGTGTGCTGTACTGTTGAAGCTCTGAATACTTTTCCATCATGATTACTGTTGGGGCTGTTGTTACTACTGCAAGTATTATGACTATTACGGTTATTATTGGAATTACTAGTAATATCAGTAAGCGATTACTCAGTGAATCAGTTCATTGACTTGTCATCCTGCAGGCTGTGATTCCGCTAGCCAGGCACCCCTGTAGAAGCCCCGCGAAGTAAGGGTCCCTTAGACAGGTTTTTGCTGCTGTGATTGTTAGATCTTTCTTTTGTACACCTTGCTTAGTGTTGCTATTGTTATGTAGCTCACTAAGTAATGGCTCAGTGAAGTAGTTGATTCTCTGTTTTTCGGCAAGCTGGGGGCAACTCGGGAGAGAAGAACGTTCGTGAGTAGCAGCCCTTGGTCCTAAGGCCTGTACTCTGGAACCTTACACAACTCATTTGTTAATCATCGTGAAAATTATGATAAGAAACGTAGTAATAATACGAATAATGGCAATAAGAATCACCAATACTAATAATCGTAAGAACAATAAAGACCCGAATTTAGACCCCACCCCAAAAGCCAAGTCAAAGACGCACCTTAACGACATCTTTGGAGAAGACAGCATAGAAAGCAAGCTGCTCAGGTTGTTCGGGCTTTCGAGGGGGTTGGCGAGCTTAGGGGCTTTGGTGGGTGGCAAGGTTTAAGGTGCAATGGCGCGGACAAGGGAGCCAGGGCAGAAGGCAGAAAGGCAGCAGGCGCGTGGGGTTGAAGTCGGCAGATCAGATGGCCACACGTGTTCTGCCACAAGGCAGCACAAAAAACCGCATGCGCACTTCGGGTTCAGATGTGTCGCGTAATCCTGAGACGAGCACTTGGAAAAATTCTCCCGGATGTACTGTTTCCCCCAGTCCAGTCCATATCAATTGAGCAGCTGGAAAGCATGCCCTGTCAGTGGCTCTCGCCTCCTCTGCTTGCAGTATGCTGTCGGGTCAAACCTGAACCGTAAAACCCAAAACCCCAAACCCGAAGCCCTAAACCCCACATCCTGGCCCTAAACCATGAACCCTACAGTAAACCCTAAGCCCTGAATCCCAAACCCTAAACCCCAAACCCTCAACCCCAAACCCTAAACCCCGAACCTTAAACCCCAAACCCTCAACCCCGAACCTTAAACCCCAAACCCTAAACCCCGAACCCTAAACCCCAAACCCTACACCCTAAGCCCTCCACGCTGCCTCCCGCGCCGGTCAGTTTGTGGACTGGAGCCCGACGGGCTTCGCAATCTACAGCTACAAGGATCCGAAGAGCCAGCCCGAGGCCGGTCCTTTAAAGGGATCTATAGGGTTCCTTTAAGGGATCGAAAGGGTTCCTTAAAGGGGTATCTATAACAGGGTTCCCTTTAAGGGTACTATGCGGTTCTGTAAGAGAGTTCCTTTAAGGTTCCCTTTTGAGGGTTCTATAAGGGGCCAGGGAAATAAGGTTGATGAACTAAATCTGGCATTACCTTGATGACCCTAGACTAGGGGAACTATGACATATTCCTTAGTATGGGTTGCTGGTTTTATATCATCAACGGTATGGGTATCAATTCGAAGAGGGTTCCTTTGGGGGCTCTATTCTAGGGTTCCTGTTGAGGGTACTATGGGGTTCTACAATGGGGTCGGCTCACAGGAGGGCTGGATTGCGGACCGCAGCAGTGTAAACTGAAAGACAGTCGGGCACGCGAGGTACCCACAGTTTAGAGCTGTGGCTGCGTTTTTTCTAGCTTGACCATAGGCTGCGATGGTGTCGTCGGATATCATTGACAAGCATAGTAAGCATAGCGTCATTAGGAGCAGTCACAAAACCAGGAGCAGGAGCAACAGCAGTAACGGAGATACCATGACCAGGAAAGAGTTTAAACTTGATTGTAGAGATGGCTTGGGAGGGCAATTCGGGGCATAACCTGGCACGTGGCACGTCGAATTTCCAAATGCCTGCATTGGCTGTTCATGAGGCCCGACCAGGAGTGCATCCAGTTCGACCCCTCCAAGCCAGGTAGCTGTACTGGAGAACAACACCTGCGTGGCGAAGATCTTCGACAGCTTCAAGAGCGGCTGCGTGCATGGCTCAGGTTCAGAGTCTAGCTAGTTTAGTCAACCCTGCATTCTTCTCTCGAAGGGTAAAAGGAGGGACCCTTAATAAGGACCCCTAGGTATATACCCTTAATATAGCCATTATATACCCATAATATAGCCTATTATAGGGTAGGGGTCCCCATTAAGGGTCCCTCCTGTTCCCCTTTGATTCTCAGATCTCCCTCCGGTGCTGGGAGTGCGCGTCTGTGTGCATACCGGAACCAGTCTTGAGTGTGTGCATTGAGGAAGACCAACAGCTGAACTCGGACGAAGGCTCAAGCCTTAGAGCTGTCTTAGGCCCCCTTGTTTCGGTTTAGGGCTTGATCCTGCCGAGGTTTTCGAACTTCAGGCCTCAGGAATTTTCGCATGTTGATCACTGCCGACGAGCACCTCCCATGACCCACCCCTTAGAAAATTGAGGCTGCGGGGAATAAGGAAGGGGGGCATGTATCTATACATCAAATCATAAAGCACAGGGATGGAGGCATGTTTGCTTGTTTTCTGTCAGCAATGTACACGTGGGAGATGGTAAACAGTTGAGGAGTTGTGCAAGAGAGCGCCCCAACACGAAACCTGAACCTCTGAACCTTTGAACCCCTAAACCCCAAACCTTTAAACCACCTCTACACCCTAAACCCAAACCCCAAACCCCTAAACCCTGCGTTCAGGTGGTGAGTTGGCAGAGGCTTTGGAGAACGTGGCGGGCATTTGTCCACGCCGGCTTGATTCAGGGTCCAGGGGTTAAGACCTCGAAGTTTGGGGGTTTCGGGTTTTGGGGATTAGGGGTTTCGTTTTTTTTTCTTATATTTTTTCAGATGTCGTTCAAGCTTTGGTCTTTGGCGTCTTGGGCATCAACCTTTCAGGGCATCGGGGTCTGAGCTGTTGAGGACTCGGCGTCGTCGGGTACCGTCGCTGAGGAAGACTTGGGCCTTTTATTATTAATAGTAGTAACTATGAAAATAATAACAGCAATTATGATAGTAAAAGTATTTATGATAGTACTAGTAATGGTTGTACTAACAATAGGAGGAGCAATGATAGTGTTGCAAAGCAACGATAGTGAATCATAGAAACCCTTCGGGGGGCAGGGGGAGGGGGGTGTAGGGGGCCTTAAACCCTAAACCCTATAACCCCCCAAGGGTCCCTATCAGTAAAGGTTCCCTTTCTCGCCAGGCAAGGACTTCGAAGAGGTCGGCGCGGAGACCTCTTACGGCGATGACGAGGAGGACTACGGCGAGGCAACTACCGGGTGAGGGTGAGGGTTTTGGGCTTAGGCTCTAAACCTTAAACCCTAAACCCTGAACCCTCAACGCTAAATAGGGGTTTAGGATTGGTTTCATCCTCGGGCTATCGCGGGCTCCCAGCGTCTTGGATGCTGAGCTTCTTGAGCCTGAAGTCCGCTGCTTCACCTGTAGGCGCCTTAATAATTAGAATAGGGTTTGGGGGTATATTTACATGAAGGCACCCCCAAAACCCTAAACAGAATTTTTAAGGCACCTACATTACCTATCCTCTTGACTTCCTGTGGCTGCTGCATGCCAGGAATTTTGATGAGCGTTCTGATGGACTTCCTCTGGGCTCTGTGCCTTTCAATTCTCTGCAAAACATACTTTGAACTACTGTCTGGTGCTCAGTAGAGAATGGGGGAATGGATCCTTATAGTAGTCCCTGCATAATCCCCAACACTAGTCTCCATAATCCATTCCCTTAAAGGAACCCTTAAAGTAACCCCTAAAGGAGCCCCCCTACTAAGAACCAGAGAGACTAATTCGCCTGCTCGGAGATCCGAGTCCCTTACCGTGGCCTGCCCGGCTCTTAAGGAACCGTGGCCCTTTCATGTAGGTTAACCTGATTAAGAAACCCTGGGCCTATAACACCAAAATAGTAGGTAACAAAAAACTTAAATAAAGGCCCAAGCTTTCTTAATCAGGTTCCTACATTAGCCTTTTTCTTCGCAGCTCCATTGAATGGAGCCTTGTGGCATTGTGCTGCGGCTTTCAGTCCCCTCGCCTCGTACTATTAAGCGGGAGCAGAGGCTTCTCTTACCTTTGGTTAGTAGGGAATGGAAGAATGGTAGTAATAGTAATTATAATTGTACCCCGTTCCTCCATTCCCTACTAACCAAAGGTAAGTTCTGAGAAGCTGGGAGTCGCCAGCATCTTCCTGCTGTGACTTTTCTCAGCAAGGACACGACGGTGGCTTTCCGTGTTAAGTGACACTTACGATGCAGTGCTGGACAGGGGCTAGGTCCTCTAGGTTCCTGGCCACGCACGGCCCACACGCGCAGCGGAAAAATCTGCAGTGCAAGCTCGTTCTCGTTTGGCGAGATGGGGCACTGCTTGCAGTCATGGGCAATGTCTTACCCTATTCAGGCAGGCAAGCACGCTCACATGGCCAAGTTCAAGAATGTCCTTGACACGCAGATGAAGGCACTGCGATGCAGATCTTGTCCCAAGATGGTACTTCATAAAACAGGCTGAGAGAGGCCTCGTGCTCGTGTTGCTTTCCAAGGAATTCAGGCAGATGCAGGATGATGAGGAACGGGCACGACAGCAAGAACGTCAGGCCCGCAACAATACTAGGGCCGGGTGTAGATGTCGCCGCAAGCCGGGGTCATGATGCAGGACATGCTCAACCAAGTCAAGGAGAATCAGCGAATTGCTGCAGCAGAAAAGGCCTGCACTGTCATAGCCCTTTTAACATTTCACATCATGGCTGTCTATGACTATGACTCCGGGGGCTGACGTTCTGCAGGCACATCACGATGCGGTGAGGGACAAGGCCAAAAGCATCAACGAGCAGTGAACCTGGCTTTCTTGACTGCCCAGATTGAGATCAAGGTATATCGAAGTCAACACACTACTGCTAAGACTACTTCTACTGGTGCTACTATTACTGCTGCTGCCACTGCAGCTGCAATGACTGCTACTACACTACCGCTACTAGTACTAGTACTTCTACTACTACTACTACTACTACTACTACTAGTACTACTACTACTACTACTACGACTAGTACTAGTACTAGTACTAGTACTACTGCTGCTACGATTGCTAGTCCCACTGGTAGTAGTAGTAGCAGCAGTAGTAGTACTACTACCACTACTACCACTACTACCACTACTACCACTACTACCACTACTACCACTACTACCACTACTACCACTACTACCACTACTACCACTACTCCCACTACTACCACTACTACCACTACTACCACTACTACCACTACTACCACTACTACCACTACTACCACTACTACCACTACTACCACTACTACCACTACTACCACTACTACCACTACTACCACTACTACCACTACTACCACTACTACCACTACTACTACCACTACCACTACCACTACCACTACGACTACCACTACCACTACCACTACCACTACGACTACCACTACCACTACCACTACCACTACCACCCTACCCCTACCCCTACCACTACTACTACAACAACAACAACAACAACTACTACTACTACTACTACTACTACTACTTGCTGCTTCTTTGTCAAAGTTTGTCACAGCCAGGAGCCTGGAAAGCCTGCGAAGACGGCGAAAGGCAGACGAGGACCTGCACACCCGTCATAGGACATCCCGGTTTGGAGTTGAGGGTCTTTGCAAACGTTCGTGCAAAGCAGCGCAGGAAAGGCGGCAGCGCGAGCAAGATTGCATGCTAAAGTGGTACCCTCCTCAGCATTCTGCTGTTGGGGAATTGCTGTATCTGAAGGATGCCTCTCGGCAAGAGTTGTTGACACTTTTGTGAGGCTGCACAACGAAAATGAGCGTCTTCGCCAGCAGCGCATCGCAGATGCAGAAGAGTATGTCGAGATCTTAGTCGCGCTAGTGCGGGATGTTTTTGTTGACGAATGGCCCGAAGCCCTGAGCACTGAAGTCGACGGATGCTCCGAACGTCTTAGGCTCGGAAGTGCAAGCAAGCACAAGACGAGCCGGGAACTTGTTCGCTGAATCACGGTCGCCGACCGATCAACAAGTGTATGTTTACAGGCCTGCGTCTCGTTCTCGCCAGACCCGCTTAATGTAGTGGAATAAGATATTTCTGTGTTATGCGGCCATGGGGCAAGGTTTTCACCTGACATAAGACGATACAAAAGTATGCAAAATGACCAAGCGCAGCAGAACAAAGTAGAACAGACTGCAGTATGACACAACGTCAAAAGACACAAGACCTTACAATATAACATAATACAACTTAACATAATATGATATGTTACAGTATGCGACGATAGAGTACAACATATGTCGCCAAATATTGGGGAACATCATGATGTATGACACACTGCAACATACTGTACATAGTCTGATGTAATGTACTTCACTATGATGTATTATAGCAGATTGCAAGGCAGCATAATAAAAGAGGACATAGCGCAGTATAGTATATGCTAAAAGCAAAAGCAAACAAATAACACATACGACAGCTGAAACTGCCATAGTGTGAAACAGAATTGAATAAAACAACATGAAACAGTAAATCAACAACATACCACCTAAACTATATGTTACAGCATAAAACGCAACATAATATAACGTTGCATAATTTTAACGCTACGCCGCCCGCCTCGGCTCTTTAGCGGCAGGGCGAGGGGGCAGTGGATGTCGTATACACCATGCTACAAGGGAGGGAGGGGACGAGGGGGGAGGGAGGGGGGGGAGGAGGCCTACAAATCAGGTAAAATGAAGGGAAGCCGGGCAAGGGGGTGGCAAACCAACGCAAAAACAGGGTGTCTCCAAACTTTCGGACTGCAGGGAGGAGGATTAGGTGGAGAGTGCCTGAGGAATCCTCAAGACGCCCGGGCCTGTGGCCTCGGCGGATTTTAGCGCTACGCCGCCTGCCTCGGCTCGTGCACTGCAGGGGCGGAAATCTGTTCAGGTCACGGCTAAATTGAAATTTTTGAGATTTCTTTGAGCAGAACTCCCACGATTGAACAGGTGCAGGGGTGCCGTTGAGCTGCTTTTCCGCGAGACATGTCAGCGTGCTGCAAGGAGGAACGCAGGGTTCAGGGACCAGCGGCCATGCGCGCCAGGAGCAGGAACAGGACAGAAAATCCGGCAAAATGAGGGGAAGCCGGGCAAGGGGGTGGCAAAGGAATGCAAAAAGCGGGTGTCTCCAAACTTTCGGACTGCGGGGAGGAGGATTAGGTGGAGGGTAAGACGCCTGGGCCTCTGGCCTCGGCGGATATAGCATAATATCACAGAGCATAATAAGACGCGTTATCATAGGACATGTGAAATTATGACGCAATGTAATATGTTATAATATGATATAGCAGCATATAATACAACATGCCTTTACATACCACAACATGTTTACCGATAATATAGTACAATATAGTATGAAATTATGTATGATATCGTTGGACAACATAACATAAGAACTGTAGTGTGCTTTACTTTGAAACCCTGATATGACTGATATAACATAACTGAAAACAACTCAGTACATCATACTGTATGCAAATAAGAGTCGAATGGTTGCTTTAATACAATGCAGCAGCAACATGTGGTAATAGAACATGATGCAGTGTGACGTGGTTTATTACTATCTGATACATTTTACACGCTAGTATAATATACATGTACAAAATCTCAGAATCCAGTATGGCATAGTAAGCTTTAACCTCACACAATATAGCATAGCATGATGTTGTGAACAAATATAAAGCACTACAGTATAGTATGTTTTTCTTTATATACGAAAATGGTTTTATGGTACATTTCGGTTTACTCCAGTATAACCTGACCTGACACAGTACAACATAAAATTAGGGCATTGCAGTAGATTGTAAAACGATAAGATGAAATACAACAAAATGTCGCAACATGAATAGGTTGCTTGCCTGATGCCAGCTTCAAATCTGGGGAGCCAAGGATGCTAGAAGCCATGGAAGAAGCAGCGAGAAGAAAGAAGGCCAGGCCGTTGTTGACATTAGGCTACTGTTGCCTCTCTCTATCTATATCTATACCTATATATATACACACATACATCGTATGTATGTATATACATATACGTATATACACACAACATACAGCATCTATCATATGTTTACTCATGCAAGAGCTTGTGAGGACTCGTTGCACCTAGCAACCTTGGACGATTCAATGCGCTCGTGATAGTGAGCAAGGTTCCGTGTCAGGCCCAAGCGACAGTAACCCGGATCAACCCAGATCAGCCCAGATTCTTTACCCAAGGCCACTTTAGAGCTAAACGCGCAGCGGGATGGACACTTGTGTGGCAGCTTGGGCTTTCAACCCATGCGCAAGCCTCAAACCTAAACCCTGTACCCCTAAACCCCTAAACCCTTAAACCCCTAAACCTTAAACCCCTAAACCTTAAACCCTAAACCCTAAACCCTAAACCCCTAAACCCCAAACCCTAAACCGTGTGAAGCAAGTCTCCAGCGCCTTGCGCCTCGAGGCACGACAGGATGAAGATAAGGCGCCTTCTGAGGGAGGTAGAAGACAGCTTGGAGGACTCTGCTCCTTGCTAAGGGCCGGAATGGTGTCACAGTTTTATCAGTCGCAGCTGGGTCTTGCCATTTCCACAGCAGTCCCTGTTGAAAATCGCTGCAATCATTATTAGTTTTGTTGCGACGACGACGACGACTACTACTACTGTTGCTCCTCCTCCTCCTCCTTCTCCTCCTAGCACCACCACCCCCTACCACTCTTGAACAGTCCTGCTCGCTTGGAAGCCGACATTCGGCACCAGGCTTTCGCGATGGCCGGGGAACAGGCCGCAGACGATGCGGCCGGGGGCTGATCCGAAGTATCCGCAGCCCAAGTTCAGGTTTTGGGGTTGAGGTAGTGTTCAGGGCTGGGGTTGGAGGTTCAGTTTCGAGTGTGTCGATCAGCGGGTCATTGACTGGGTTGAGGAAAGTTGTACAATGACACGCCATCGCATTGGACCCCTAAGCAAGGAAGCCTTCGCCAACATGCATGCTCTTTGACGGTCTCTTGACTTTGCTGCTCATAAATCCCGAACCTTGAGCTTCTCAGCCCTGGTGGCCGGTGTTTAACTTGACGCAGGAGGCAAGAAATCGAGCAGCCGTCCAAGCCAGAATGGATCAGATTGAGAGGACGAGCTGCAGGGTTCAGTGTTTAGGGTTTAGTGGCAGGGTGTTGTGGTTTCTCGGTTGAGGGGGATGCTGTCTATGAATACCTTGAAATCATATTGGGGATCCTATTATAATTTAAGGTATATTCCTTAATCAATTAAGGGGTTTTGGAGTCTCTGGGATGATGTTTCTGATATTCCCCTCCAGCGAAGCGTGCTTTCAGTCAAAGGCCTAGCGATCGCTGGTCAAAGCATTGAAGCGGTTCTAGTTTCTTATATTATTAATCGGAACTTCAGTTGCGATAATAGCAGAAAATAGTGATAATGATGATAAACGACAGTAGGAATAGTAATAGGACACATAGTAATAGTAGTAAAACTAATACCACTGGGAGAAGTGATAAAACAGCCATACGAAATCAGTCCGAAAATCGCACAGCATTAACACGCTGACATTGGTGGCAGCATGGCCCTGCACCTCAAAGTATGTGCGCCAGTAAGGCCGGAGCGCGTCAACCGCATTGTGGTGGGAGCACGATTTGGGAGTTTCCGAAAATTAGGGGGTACCGTATTTTGGGTTCCTTATGATAAGGATCGTAGTATTTAGGGTTCCATATTGGGGTCCGGGTCCCCCATTTTCGGAAACCCCCATCTCGAATTGAGCCAAAGCGAAAACTCCTCAGGTTTTGGGACCGCAGCAAGAAAACTTCTAAGCAGCTGAAGGGCTCTAAACCCCAGTGCGCTTGACCCCTGAGCTCCTCCCCCTAACTCCACCTCCAAGCTGAATACCGAAGACCGGATGATTGAAAAAAGGAACAAAACAGGGGTCCCAGTGCTAAGGAATCTATGATGCCTTGAGACCCGCGTCCAGGAACTGCCAGACGATCGGAGCCGACATCGCCGGGCGTGATGCTCGACTTGAAGCCGAACTCCAGGCCGAAACTCACGTATACTTACCATCATTATGATTGCTCTTATCATTATGATTGCTCTTAATATTATGATTGCTCTTATTATTATGAGTATTCTGACTGTCATCACCATCATTATTGCTGCGGTTGTAGGCATTATCATTGTCACTGTTCATGCTATTGTTCCTCTTAGTATGTTTGTAGCACGGTTTTCGGTACTCATTATTTCCGTTCGGGCGGAAGGGATGGATTGATGTATGGATGGATGGATGGATGCAGGTGCACATTATATACATGTTGTGCACACACTTAGCAGCTCCCCTTCTAAGATCCCTTCCATGCCTGCGACAGCTTCTTGTTTGCGAGGTGTGTCGCTCTTTTCTTGAGCCTTTATAAGCCCTAAACCCTAAAACTGCTTAGGCGGACGGAAAAAGGCGTTCAAAAAAACAACCTTGCACCCTAAACATCCAACGTGCAGCATAAACGAGTTTTTCTCGCAGGCAAAAATCAAGAAGATCCAGGATGATTCCGACCAGGCGGCGAAAGAGGCGCGCCATCCTGGCCTTCTACGGGGCTTCTTAACTTAAGGAGTTTAAGGTAAGCTACCTTAATAGGGATCTAGAGCAAAATTATTTGTTTTCCGTGTTCTGGTACCTTAGATCCCTTACAAAGAACCCAGTCCAAGAGGAGGTTGAGGCCTTAAGACACCATGAGCGAAGAGCCACGTCAGGTCGGAGGTCGTAGAGCATCTTCCGTTGGTCCATGACAGGGACTCGAGGCCCCTTATAAACCCTAAACCCTAAACCCTAAAACCACCTCCGAAGTCTCTGGGCCCAAAGGGAAGAGTCTCAAAAGCCCCGAGCCGAAGTCTGCAACTCCGCGTAATATCTTTGAAACTTTGATCCCAGAGAGCCCAATACCCCTTAGTTAAGGAATATAGCTTACATCATTATATGAAGCCCTGTATGATTTCTGCCAAATTCCTTTAAGGGGTATTGGGCTCTCTAGAAAAAAGCCGGCGACAGGACGCGGCCCGGCGCAAGGCGGACCGCGATGCTAAGGCTGGAGCTCTCTGCTTGGAGGTTCAGGGGTAGCTATAAGTAGGGATATAAGAGTCCTTAAAGGGATCTATAGGGATTCTATAAGGGTATAGGGTTTAGGGTGCAGGGGTAGTTGTAAGTAGGGTTATAAGTCCCTTAATATGGGTTATAAGTATAGTTACCCTACTTATAGCCCTACTTATAAGTACCCACGAACCGCCAAGTGGTGACTTTCCTTCGCAGGTGTGTACATACACAGCTGCCTACACACACAGACAGTCACACTTACCCACACACGCATAGTTGTGGTCACGATTATGTCGGTACCTACTTACGTATGTATGTATGCATGGATTATGAGTGCCGCTGGCAGATGGTTTAGGGTTCAGACTTCTTGAATTTCATGAAGACTTCAGATGCGAAGGTGCTACAACACAACCGCAAGGGAGATGTTGGAGCCCTGCTCTGCTCAGTGAACCCTAAGTTCTGTTCTCTTGGCAGGTCAAGGACATGCTGGACACCCTGAACCTGCAGATGAAGCAGCGAGACGACGAAGCGCAGAGGGAGAAGGAGGACGGAATCAAGCAGGCGCGGCCAATCGCCTTCTAGCAGTTTGCCAGCTTTCCTGTCATGCGGTGTGTCTACGTCGGGCTTAGAACCCCAAACCCTATGACCCTAAATTCTAAACCCTATGCCTGTGCCCTAAAATCCTAAACCCTCAACCCCAAACCCCTAAACCTTATGCCCTATGCCCTAAAACCAAAAGAGGCTCGGCTCTTCCAGGAGCAGTACGAGCAAGGCCTGGCGCCTAATTGGCCTTAGCTTTTACAAAACCATAGGCTTCTACATTTAAAAAACACCTAGGGCTGTTCTGCAAAAAAGAATTCGTGGACTCTTTCGGCACTTGAATGGCGTTTCGAGGCCTTTTGGGGTTTGAGTTTCCACAGTTTGAATGCAGACTGCGAGTGCGGCTCTTTTCGAGCACTTTCATCTTTACCGAACTACGTTTGCTGAAGCTGCTGCTGCTGCTGTTTCTCCTGCGGTTGTGGTTGTTGTAGTTGTTGGCGGTTGTGATGGTTGTAGTTATTGTGGTTATTGTTGTTGTTGGCGGTGTCATGGATTCGTTACCCCCCCCTCCCCTATACCTCCCCCCCCCTTCCAGCGACACCTCCGAGCGTCTAGTGAGAAATGGCATTTCCCACATACGAATCTTGCTTGGCAAACTCTGGGCCGGGCAGGCCAACAGCATGCAACGCCTCAGCAACAGCAAGGCCTTAGCAAGGCCTTAGCAAGGCCTCAGCAAGGCCTCAGCAAGGCCTCAGGCCATGTCAGAACCCCCGTGGCCGATCAGGGCCATCGGAGGCTTCCTGTGAAGGTTACGCAACCAAGATAGAGGCCTTGCCGAGGTGCTACTGTGACACATGTCTTGCCGAGGCCTTGGCAAGCACTTGCTAAAGCTTTCTTGGGGGGGGAGGGGGGTCTAGGGGGGGGGGGAAACAAATGCATGACGGTGGTTCTCCGGCAGTTTCTGCCTTTCGCCTGGTTCTTTGCTTCTTTTGGTCCCATGGTGCCAGAGGCTACCACAAAGTCTTCCCCCAGCATTCCCTCGGAGTCACGCTTGGCCTGGCCTGCTCCAGGACTCGCAGCAGACAGGGCCAAGGAAGAGAGGGCCCGACAAGTCCCAGGCTTAGAGCTTCTTGACTCTGCAGGGCCGATCATCTGACCTCCCTTGTTAAACCCGTGATTTCGACACCCCAGGCCCGGTTGGCGATGGATGCCCAGCTGGTGGAGAAGATGAGGACGTGAGTCTGCCACTTCGAGGTTTCTTCTTGTGTCGTTTGGCTTGCAGAGGGCTGCAGGCTCCTTGCCTTAGTGGAGTCCGTGCGCACTGAGAGCTAAGAGATGGAAGGTCCGCGTGGCACTTGAAACTTGACACTTCCGGTCTTGTTGAAGATCCTCCTAGACACAGCTGCAAGGCGTTTTTGTGGTTTCGGCTGAGCCTGCCTCAGCGAGTCATGACTTTGCTTCCAATTTAGAAGCGACGCTTTGTATGGCGGATCCAGCTCTGTCAGCTGTCAGGAGCAATGCAGGCACCTGCCCCAGCGTTCTGGTTCGCCCGTGTTTTGCCTCTTCAATAGCCGGTAGCTGCTACCTTCCTGGCATAGGTGTTTTGTACCTTGATGTCTAAAATCTGGAGTGTTCGACCTCTTCGATTTTGCTGGTTCCCAGAATTACCCACTCTCTCTCTCTCTCTCTTTCTCTCTCTCTCTCTCTCTCTTTCTCTCTCTGTCTCTCTACGACTAGTGGCAACACATCAGTGGACACGACCCGTCTATGTCTGTGCCTTATCTACGTCTGTGTCTATGTCCGTGTCCATGTCTGTCTCCATGTCTACGTCTGCTTCTGCGTTTCCTCCAGATCCATGTCTATGCCTTCGTCTTTGTTCATGTATACATACATATATGTATACATACATTTTTGCATACATATATATATATATATATAATACAGGTATATGTATGTATGTGTGACCATGTCTGTATACGTTGGTGTACACACCCAGACACCCTGCGCAAGCTCCAGCTTTCCCGAGTCGTCCATCCACGGGACTTCGGCGCTCACCTCACTCAGCAGCAGGAGCTGGATATTTGGACTTCTCCTTAAAGGGACCTAGAAGGGTTCTATAAGGGATTTTCAGGAATATACTTTGAGTTATAGAATGGATGGGTTTCTTTTGCTCCAGGGCTCTAGGGTGCAGGGTTTCGAGCTTTGGCGCTCTTTGTCTTGACACTGACAAGGATTTCCGAGGTTTGCTTGCATGCCTCTGTTCGCAGAACTGAGGAATGATGCTCCTAGTCGTAGTAGCAGAAGTACTAGCAGTTGTCGTGGCAGTAGCAGCAGTACTGGGAGTAGGAGTACGAGTACGAGTAGGTCGAGGAGGAGGATGAGGTTTGAATTGTTGGAGTTGGGTCAGAGTTGGAGGAGGAGGTGCAGGAGTTAGAGTGGGAGGCGCAGAAGGCGCTACTCGTCGTCGTAGCTGCGCAGCCCTGGCCGTGGTGCTGGTGGCAGGGCTGTTTTTGGCCAGTGATAGTCGTTGCAGAAGTAGCAGTAGTTGTAGTAGTAAAGAGTAGTAGTAGTAGTAGTAGTAGTCGTCGTCGTCGTCGTCGTCGTCGTCGTCGTCGTCGTCATCTTAGTAGCTGTAGTATTCGTAGTAGTCGTCGTAGTGGCAGAAGTAGTCGTCGTCATGGTAGTCGTAGTGGTCTACTACTACTACTACTACTACTACTACTACTACTACTGCCACTGGTGCTGCTGCTGCTGCTCCTGGTACTGCTGCTGCTACTACTACTACTACTACTACTACTACTACTACTGCTACTGCTACTGCTACTGCTACTGCTACTGCTACTGCTACTGCTACTACTACTACTACTACTACTACTACTACTACTACTACTACTACTACTACTACTACTACTACTACTACTGTTAACTCCCGTGCTTACCTTTGCAAAGCGCGAGGAGTTGGCCTACAACCGTGGCCTCTACGAGCAGATGGTCCGGGGGACTGCGCTAGTAACGATTGTTTTGGCCGCTATCAAGTGTACATGCAGTATATGCAGTACACATGATACCTGCGTATGCATGCATTTCATTCATACACGCGTATACAGGAGTAAGTATATATATATATATATATATATACATACATATATATATATATATATATATATACATATATGTATGTATGCATATGCTTTTACACTTTACGATATGACGAGGAACGAGGGGTTTCATTTATACTGTGCAAGAGATTAGAGGGTCAGTTCAAAGCCACAGAGCGTGGTGATGGCAGGCCGTGGAGGGCTTCATGATGCCCCTGACATCGAAGTTCCTGCCCCAGGCAGGTTGGTCCGAAACGTCCACTAATCGAAAGGTTCCTGCTGAAAGTAGGGCACTGTGGCGATGAGCCCAGGGTGAGCAATGCTTGTGAGATGTGGGAGGCCACCCATACAGGGAAGCTGGATCCGCATCCCTCTTGCGGTCGCTACACAGGTGAGATCGACGCGCCACTTGGCAGCACGCTGTTGTCATGTGTGCAAGTGAAGATCGCCTGTGGACTGACTTTGGGTACTCGAGGTTGGAGGTGCGGCAAGTCGACTGACGGCCGCTCTGCTCGAGGGTCTTGGCCAGCTCTCGGGCAAAGGTTCCTGTTCCAGAATCGCCTAATCCTGCACAGGCATACGGAAAGCTCAAGACTCTGGACACAGAGCCGCGCTGAAACAGCGCCTGAAGAAGTTTCACACATCCGACTGTGAGCACCGAAGTTGTGCCGGCAAAAACATCAGATCTGCTGCTCACTCATCAGACCCGACTGCAGTGAGCTGTTCAGTCTGCAAGGTCCCTGATGCTGACGATGCAGCGATAGCGCCGACGATCACGATGATTATATTGTTGACGATGGTGAGGATGAGCAGAACTATGAAGATGCGTGTGCTGTGGGAGAAGAAACTTCCAACGGCGCGTGTCTTTGTAGGTGACCCTCTGGCTTGCAGCCGAGGTGTTCATCACTCGAACCGGAACTATCGCACTGCACGAAACTCAACGATGCCAGGGGTGTTCTTACCAGATGCCAGGTTCTTGAAACAACTCTCAAACGAGGCTTCAGTCTTGTGGCGATGATTCGATGCGCTTTGTGCAAGCTTTATGGCTTCGTCTTCCAAGTTCCCGGAAGGCGTATGAGACAAAGGACACAAGGGAAAACATGAGACAGCATTTACGGAGACAAGCCCCCGGAGGCCCTGTTCCAAATTCAAGCAAAAACCAATCGCACGTTTCAATGACCACAGTCAGCTCAAAATCTTTTAGACTGCTTTTGGCCTGCTAAAGTTTAACAATGCTTTTGACCTGTGTTGAAGGAGGATGTTCTGCTCTGATCGTGGAAATGTTCCTTCTTTACCGAAATACATGTCAGATCATAAGCATGAGGGCACATATAAATAGATACAAGTGTAGCAACTATACACATAAATATATGTATATGTAAATGTGTGTGTAAGTAAATAAAGAAATAGCCATGTGTGTATGTATGTATGTATGTATGTATGTTTTTATGTATGCACCTGTGTATGCATGTACGTATGCTTACACGCACGTAGACCAAGACCACCACAAGGACAGTACCTGTGGATGGAACGATCACTCGGTTAGAGTTCATTCAAGTTTATAGGAACTCTCATAGAATCCGAAGTCCCGTTTTGTATTCTAAGAGAACCCTTATAATAATTATAGAACCCTAAACACCTCATATGGCCCGTGGAAAGCACCCCAAAACCCTTGTGGAGCCTTTGTGGCGGATTGTGAAAATCAAAAAGCTTGCATAAACCGTAGACTCTAATTAAACCCTCATCCCTAAACCCTGAACCCCAAACCCTAAAGTCAAGTCTACCATCCTTGGCTCAAGCTTCCGCCGTGTCCATCAAAAGAACCCGAGGCTTGGAGTTCATTCGGGTCCTATCAGGTTGCAGGGAGGTTGCCATAAGGTCACCACACCGGTACTATAAGGTTGCCACATGCACAAACACGTATATACGTGTGTGTATATATATATAGATATGCATATGTATATATATATATATATATGTATATATACACACCATATATATATATATATATAGATATAGATATAGATATAAGGGTATTATAAGCGTACTGTCAGGGTCGTAGACACGTAGTATAAGGGTACTTTACGGCCGTGGGGATGCTAAAAGGGTAACTGTAAGGTCGCTGTAAGGGCGCTGGAATTGCAGAGGTTCTACTCAAGGTTCTTGGACTGTCTGCAGCCCAAACTCGACGGATTTTTCGCCGAGCATCCGACGGTTTAAGATTTCGGGTTCAGGGTTTGAGGTTTAATTATGGTTCGGGGTTTAGACAGAGCACAGTTGCTTAGATTGCACCCGTGTCTGGTTCCACTTCTGCCCAATCGAGACTGTAAATCTCGGTGCGAAATATTCGCGTACAGACAGAGGTAAAACCAACTGGCAGTCGTGCCTGCTGTCAGCAGGTATCTCTAGTCCTCGCACCTTACACCCCGAAGCCACAACTCTGACCTTCAACCTTCAAATCCTCAACCCTAGGCTTCGAGCCCAAAACCCTAAACTCCCAAACCCGAAAACCCAACTTGTAGAACCCGTCTAGAACCCCTCCAGTGCCATGGATATTCGGCCCCGAACCCTAACAGTGCAGGTTGCAGAACATGGCTCGCTCAAGACTTGGCCGAGGCTGTTTGTCCCAGTGCCCAAGAGTTGGTTCATGATTTTTGACCTCTCGAGCTTTCGTGTTTGGAGGTCAATGCTTATTGCTTAGCTGTGGGGGCGTTGTGATGCAGTCTTTGTTTTTTTTGGTCTTAGTCGGGGGTACTGCTGTCGGTGGGCAGGCTGCCGCACGAGTGGAGAAGATTCCCCAACTCCAGCAATCCCCTCGGTTGAATTTGTTCTCAATCAAACTTGTCTACTTGCAAGGGCTTGCAGTCGCAGCACTCTGGATGGCTGCACTGAGCTCGCTTCCCAGATATGCGCTGTCTCAAACTGTTGATCTCGCTTGGTGTCCGCAGTACTCCAATGTCCAACACATGCTACAACCGGCCTGTAGAAGGGACTCTAGGCTTTAAAGAGCTGCGAAGCGCTAACTCATTCATCCTTCATCAACGCGGAACTTTGAGAATATTTGTTTGCATTGCTCATGCACTGGCGGATAGTACAGCCCAAGCAGCAGAACTGCGTCGCAACTGTACTGGTGATTAAGGACAGGAATGAAAGAAGCAATTACAAGTCATAGTAACATAGTATACAAGGATAGCCTCGGTGCTGAAGATTGAGTTGTGCAAGCGTATGTCCTCAAAACGCAGAGTACTCGCAGAATAGTTGAACCTTATTGGCACAAGGGTTTTACTAAAAAAGTGAGATGCAAGTCGCGTTAGTTTCAACAGTTGCCAGGACTGCCACGCGTCCATCCGAACATATACATTCAGGTAGCAGTAGATCAATAACTACAGGTTCTATTCGTCGTGATGGTCGACCTTTATCGTGGCAGCGTGGTCGCGGTCGTCGCCGTTGTTGTCGTCGTCACCGCTGTGGCTGTCAGCCGTCGGGCCGTCGCCGCAGTGCCGTCGCTGTCGTGCGGTCATGAAGTGGCGGTAGTCATCGTTGATGTCGTTCTCACTGTTGCGCTGCAGTGGTCGGCGCCGTCGCCGCCGTCGCTGCTGCTGATGCTCTCGTCGTCACCGTCATCTCGGTCGTCACTGCCGTCGTTGCGGTAGACGGGCGTGTCGAGGCAGCTGAAAGCTCCAAATTTCCTTGTAAGCCTCAACCATAGAGCCTCTGCTTCAAGTCCAAATCAAAATGCAGCTCGGCTTAGGTTTGACACGCTCGCTGGCCTTTGCCCCCTGGGGTGAGGCTGGGGCGAACGGGAGTCAGGGCGGTGTGCTTTATCTTTTTAGGCTTCGAATTTGGCTCCTCCGGCATGCTTGCTGTTGGGCTGTTGTTTCTAAGTGACTGCATTCGCTTCGTAAAGGCACATCTTCACTCCAGTTGAGGACTGCAGGAGGTCGAACTGAGGCGTTCCGTCCTCAAGCATCCTGAAAGATTGCAACGGCACTACCTGCAGCAATCGACTATATAGTATACTTTAAGAATACACCTTCATATGCCGATCCTACTATGAAATGAATCGACGTCACCCCCCTAAACCCTAAACCCCTAAGCCCTAAGCCCCTAAACCCTAAACCCTAAACCCCTAAGCCCTAAGCCCCGAAACCCTAAACCCTAAACCCATGTAACAGGAGAAGCCCTCTGCACCTTGAGTGCTCACAGCCCCAAACCCTGACCGTGGAGCCGGAGCCCGAAGCCCTCGACACAATGCCCGAAATCTGAGATGTAAAAACGCCTTAAGCCCAGAACTCTTATACTCAAAAGGCAAGAAGCCCCTGAAGCCTAAACCCAAACCCAAAACCCACATCCTAAACCCAAAACCATAAACCCCTAAACCCTAAACCCTAACCCTTAAACCCTTAAACCCTTAATCTTGAAGCCCCGAAACCGCAAGACCAGGCCGGCTCCTCTCGTCGTGAGCTCTTAGCATCGGCTTCGACCCCGATCTCCTGGTCTTCTGGGGGCCTCCTTAAAGGACCCCTTTAAAGGAACCCCCATAGATCCCCCTAACCTGAAAGGATCGCTTTAAAGCAAGCCTTATCGATCCCTTAAAAGGCACCTTTTAAGGCTACCAAGAAGGGCTGCTGTAAATTAGGGTTCCCTGGCGGAGTCCTTTAAGGGTTCATTTACGGATTCCTTTAAGTGTTCCTTTAAGTGTCCGTTTCGGGAAAGCTGCTGCAATCGTTGGGGACTTAGGGTTTGGGAAATTGAGCGGCTTTGGAGGTAGTGGGTGGCTCTTGGGATTCAGGCATTAACCACAGACTTGTGGTTTACCCTAAACCCTAAACCCTAAACCCTAAACCCTAAACCCTATTAAAAGTTTAAGATGGCGAGTCTTGGCCTGAGGGGTCTTAGAGGCTTTCGGGTGGTAGAAGTTTCGTCTTCAGGGCTGCAGGCGATTTCAAGTGTTCATGGGAACATCACCCCTTGGAGGAGCCAAGTTTCCTTAATATGGGGTCTAATTATAGTTACCCTACGTATAGCCCTACTTATAACCCTACTTATAAATCTAATTACCCTACTTATAGTCCTACTTAAACTTATAACCCTACTTATAACTACTAGTTGCAACAGATTTTATTCGCGACCAGAGGGCCTTGAAAGTTGAAGCTGCAAGGTTTCCGCAGCTGGGGCTTTGCCAGTCTGGTTGTGATCTTTGAAACAGACTGCACATTGAGGCCCTCCTGGCCGGCATGGCATTTCCTGAAGGCGCGATGGGACGAGTTGGGTTTAGGGTTTGAGTTTAGGGTTTAGGGTTTTAGGGTTTAGGATTTTAGGGTTTAGGGTTTAGGGTTTAGGGTTTTAGGGTTTTAGGGTTTAGGGGTTAAGGTTTAGGGATGGGACGAATTGGGGTGAAGCTCCGGGTGTTTAGGCCTGCGTTGCGCTCAGCTCTGTGCGCCAGGCTCAATCTCAATCCGCCATCCTTCTGTATACTACGCCCGAAATTCCTGAATCCACCATCCTTCCTAGATCCTGTATCGGCAAAACCCGAAAGCCCTGAAACACCGGAGAATCCTTGCGACCCCCGGCATCCCGCGCACGCGGAAGGAGCCATGGCATCGAACCGAGCCTTAGCCCCGGAGATCGAGAAGGGCGGTTTTGTCCTTTGGCTTTGGGGTTACTTTAGGGGTTTAGAATTTAGGGTTTGGGGTTACTATAGGGGTTTAGGGTTTAGGGTTACTATAGGGGCTTAAATAATTGCCCATACTGTTTTGGGGGGTTCCTTATTTTGATTATGGTCTCATATACCCCAAAACCTTGTTCTAATTATGAAGGCTCCTATGTTACGGTTGAGGCTTTAGGGTCATATGTTTTGCTTAGCATCCTCCTGTGGCTGGAATATTTCAATAGTCTTGAATCTTTCATGTCATGTGCATTCCTGTAACAGTGTTTTTGCCATGACTGCGAGTGTCAGCGCTACGATCTGGCACATTATTTCATAGCACATTTATCACCACCTTTCTCCCTTGCGAGGATTTGTCGCTGAAGAACGACAAAGCAAACCTCGACGGCTACGACTTTTCAGGCCGCTTTCTCTGTAACGTTGGGGTTTTCTCTGCCAGAAGGGAATAGCAGATGTCGTGGGCAGTTCCGCTGCATACGTGGAATAGCAACACTCGCGAGAACAAGAGTGGCGCAGGACTAACAGCAAAGAGCGAACAATGATCGTCGCACTCACGGTCGGAGTTGTTTGCCATCGCCGGACGTATTCTTCGGAGTGTTGCTACGTACTGCATACTGTGTACTGACACATTGCGTGCTGCTAACCACTACTACCGCCACACTGGCGAGGACGACTGCGACTCCAACTGAACGACGAAGACGACTGCCGCCATAATAACACTGCTGTTGCTGCTCCTCCTTCTCCTCCCACTCGGACTCCTGCTCCTACTCCTACTTCTACTGCTCTTCCTTCTCTTACTCCTACATCTACTCCTACTCCCTCCTCCCACTCCCACTCCCACTCCCACTCCCACTCCCGCTCCCGCTCCTGCTCCTGCTCCTGCTCCTACTCCTACTCCTACTACCACCCATACCAGTACGTACCACAACTGCTACCACTACAACCGCCACGACCACTACCACTATAAACTCGGTAGAGTTTGCCGGCAGTCTTTCGAAGAACCCCGGCACAACCCGAAACCTGAATCCCCAGAACGAAACGCCTGTTCCCTTGGAGCCCATGAACTCTAAACAAGAATAGGGGCCTCAATAATTCCGATCACTATTCCTTAGGTTCATGCATATATTGAATATATAGCCGTAAACAACCACCCCAAACCCTAAACCCTGAACCCAATGCCCTAAACCCCAAACCCTAAACCCGCATCCCTCTGCACATCCCCGAGGCGCCACTTCCAGACTGGATCAATCTCTCAACACCGGCTATGACCAGGCCGGGCCCTGCGAGATCTGTTGCAAGCACACGCGCATGTATATATGTATATCTGCATATACGTATTTATGTGTTTTGTGTGCATGTATATATATATATATGTATATGTATATGGATGTATACATTCACACACGCATATATACATATGTATATATATACACACACATACATCTCTTATGTGTTTGTACATATACATAAACGTCTATATATATACATGACGTACATGCAACCCTTTAATACTTGTACATGCAGGCATACATGCATAGCGGTTCAGGCCGCAGCTATTTGCGAGGTGAAGCTGCAGTGCGAGGAAGTGACGGTGATCACGAATGCCCGGGGCGAAGCGATCTGTGAAGATTTCCCCGAAAGCTATCCCACCAAGGGGCTGCAGGGTCTTAGTCTGAACCCCTAGACCTCATAAGCCCACAGAACAAACCCAAAACCCTTAAACGAAAAGCCCGAAACCCTTCCAAAAAATGCAAGGCCCTAAACCTTAAGTCAAGTAGGAGCGCCTGGAGAAAGTCTAATGGGCTCATAATTGGGCTCAGTGTCCCGCTGAGGGTGGTTCCCGAACGATGGACGAAGAGCAGGCCAAGCGGTACCTCTGTGACAGAGCAGATCTGAAGAAGCAGAAGGACCATCTTGTTTTTCAGGGTCTGGATTTTTGAATTTAGGGCTCGTGCTCATCAATCCGCCTAGGGAGCATGGAGACTTTTTCAGACAAGAAGGTTAGGCTCTTTCGTGATGCTCGGGCTTTGTCGATACAGAGCATTCTCCCCGACTGCCGAGATCTGGAGGAAGAGAAGAAGCAGTTCTCCTACACAAAGGACGCGAAGGAGTACCGCGAGCAGTTAGCGGCCCAGGTGAAATCGGAAAAAGAAGAGAGGATTCGAAAGTACAAGGAGGCGGTAGCTGCAAGCAAGCGATAGGAGCTGTAGAGCAGCTCCACAAGGGAGACATACTGATAATGTAGGGGCCTTAATAATTAGAATAGGGTTTGGGGGGTATATTCTACTATAATTAATCATAATAAGGAACCCCCAAAACCCTATTCTATTTTGTAAGGCCCTTACATTAGGATATCAATGCTCCACCTCACTGTGGCTTGCCACTGAATGGACAGCCAGAGAGCACGCCCGAATCGGAAAGCTGATTCTTGGCAGTGACTCAGTGGGTATGCTCCACAAAGCATAGCCATGGGGGACATCTCATGGCCAGGAGAGCGACCGCTATAGACAGCTGGTCTGATTACCAGTCCTACCATAACTATAGACTATAGTTGTCAGTAGGTTCTTGGATACGTCATGATGCTTGCTGAGACTAGTCCTACTGGGCCCAGGTCAACATGTATGCGCACCTGCCATCATGCCAAAGCACTTGTATTGCTCGAGGATGAGCGCGGTCCTCCATTTGAAGTGTAGGCGGGTTCGGGGTGCCATGCACCGTCTCAGTTATTGTTTCCGTGAGGGCTGCCAGCTGTGCGAATGCATTTCTGCAGCAGTCAAATTTTCGCCATTCAGAGCCCAGCAGATTTTCACAGAAAAGAAAGCTTTGCAGGCGCATGGATGTTGTGCTGTTGGCGTGCGTGCAGGGCCTGCAACAATCGGTCTGGGAAGCATGCGATGAATGCAACAAGGCATCTGTGTGCATTAGAAGCCTGTGGTCGTTTCTGTTCTGCTGACTGCCGACCTACATACAATCCGGGCTTCTCAGCACTGGCACATTGTGAGAGCTTGAACGGTCGCACAGCCAGTCGAAGAGCGCTTCTTGCAGAGTCGTTTTGAAACTATGCTCGGTGCGATTGGGGTAAAGGCTGCATGAAAGAGTTCCTCATAGGAGGATGGTTTGGTTCAGAGAAAGGTTAATGGAGTAGTGAGTAGTGAGAGCTGAGGAATGCGAATTGGAAGCAACCTTTTGCGCGGGGCAGGGGTGCAAAGTTTTTCGGGCTCTACAGCATCAGAGTGCCGCACGACTACTTTTGTGTCACCGGCATTGCAAGAGCACGGGTGACATGAGCTTCCGTCTTCAGAGAAACGTCATGCGGCCGAGGCAGTCTAGGGTTTACAGGACTGTTGTGCGGTGCAGCTTGGTTTTGAGCGTCTACGGCACAAGAACATCCGCCGTTGCCGAGCTAGCTGCGCGCGCATCCTATCGGGAGTCGCAATGCAGCTGGCAGGCAGGATGCTCTTCCTTGTCCGTTGTGGAGAGCACAGGTATCTCTTGCAATAGACACAGGCAAGCTTCCAACGCATGTCGTTGCTGGAAAGGTGGGGGGCTCGGAGTTTTGGCCTGCAGCCTTGTCTCGCGCATCAGGCAGACTTGATGTTCACTGCAGAGGTTGCGTGGACTAATCGGCCTTGTAAGTTCCGCGTCAGTTGCGAATTAAGGTCGTCGGAGGATCCACAGACAGTGTTGCGTTCGCTGCTCTGTTGATCTACTAGAGGGGCCTAAATAGGTACCGATACTACTTTGGGATATTTTGGGGCTTCTTTCTTACACTTGTTTATAGCATTCCTACACTACCTCCTCACCCCTTCCTCTTCGAATCCTGCATGTCTACTCGTGCAGTGAGCCGAGGCGCCTGCCTTGATGTATTCCGACTACCAGCTGAAGAGGTTGAGCGCTCAGAGCAGCTCCTGAATTGAAGCAAAGTGCCTAAGCGTCGCTCTGCTTCAAGCGTGTAGTCTATCATAGTATGGTATAATATATTCTACTATGTATATATATATATATATATATATATATTCTAGTATAATATAGTATACCATATTACAGTATAGTACAGTGTAGTATATTATACTATAGTATATTATAGTATAGTATAGTATATTACAGTACAGTCTGGTTTAGTATAGTTTCTTTGCAATTGCCAGAATGCAGTTGAGGCAAGCTGGATGCATTCTGCCCGGCTGCAAGGCAACCTGCTTCTGCATCAGTCATAAGGACACTTAGGGGGGGTAATGAAGGAAGTATAGTCCCCTACCCCCCCTAAGGGTGGTAGTAGTAGTAGCAGCAGCCGCAGTAGTAGTAGTAAGTAGTAGTAGTAGTAGTAGTAGTAGTAGTAGTAGTAGTAGTAGTAGTAGTAGTAGTAGTAGTAGTAGTAGTAGTAGTAGTAGTAGTAGTAGTAGTAGTAGTAGTAGTAGTAGTAGTAGTAGTAGTAGTAGTAGTAGTAGTAGTTAGTAGTAGTAGTAGTAGTAGTAGTAGTAGTAGTAGTAGTAGTAGTAGTAGTAGTAGTAGTAGTAGTAGTAGTAGTAGTAGTAGTAGTAGTAGTCCATGGATCTTCGCCCCGATCAAGAAGGTCGCCACTGACAAGGATGCCAACTGGCTTGACATCACGCAAGCGCGGCTTATGGTCGGGGCCAATGGCCAATTCACATTATCCATTGGCCAAGATGATCGCTACACCGAGCTCAAGTCCACCACGACCTACTATGGCATAGTGCACGCCCTTTTTCAGAAAATGTGGGATCATCCGGACATGAGCGCATTGCTCGAAACGGATGACAACTTCGAGATCGTGGCCTCCACCTTCAAGTGCATCTATGACCAGTCCTCCAGGAAGAGTGGTGGCCAAAATCGCGCCATCTTCTACCAGCCTCGGGATGGACACGTTGTCCGCAAGCTCCGTATCGAACACAACAAGGGCGACACGGCCACCTACCAATGGCATCGTCAACGCGAGCTACGTGAGCAGCGTGAACAGCGTGACAAGCGCTCTGGTGAAGAGACACAGTCTCACACAGACAAGCGCTACAGAGACGGCGATGCCTGGACCCGAGGAGGGTGGTGGAATCGTGGCTCGGACTCGGGGGCCAGTGGCAGCCGCTCCTGGCACCAGTGAGCTCCACCTTTGATCACCGGTGCCAATGGCAACCTATACAGTGAAATGCGGAGGCCATGCCTGCAATTCTACTTCGTTTCTTCCGGCACGTACTGACGGCCTTTCTGCTGATTGCCGCCGCTGTCAGAGAAAAACATGCCTCGCCTTCTGCCAGTCGCAGAACTGTGCCTCTGCAACTAGTGCTGCATAATCACTATCCTCGCTCAGGTACACACAACAATCTGAAGCTTGATGCCTGGCAGCCTACCAACTTGCTTCGGCTGACCACTGCCAGTTAGCTTGAAGCCTGTAGGCCGCCAACACCAAAGGTCTTCGACCAGGGCTGTTCAGCTATGGGGTCTGAGTCAGTTTCACACCATGTGAGTGCACCGCGGCAATCGCCCGCTATGTGCTGAGCCCGCTCGCACAGCGTTCAATTGAATAGTAGTAGTAGTAGTAGTAGTAGTAGTAGTAGTAGTGATTGTCTTTCCGATCAGTTGCGTTGCATGCTGCCCATGCCAGTTTTGAATCATTTTTTGCTCGCACAGCTGTGAATCGTGGAAGTAGATACTGAGCAGTTGCCTCGTAGCACTCTCCGCAGCCCTAAATTGCCACTTCTGCCGCAGCTTCACAGCGGTAGCCGGACTTGTGGCTCTTGGCACAAGGGCAGCATACATACAAGACGCGGTATTTCATGCAGCACCATCTCCTGTTCGAAAAGACACCAGATTTAGAATACGTCGCCCGCATGTCATGCAGCAATCCCCAAGCCTTTGTGCTCTGCCGAAGCCTGAAACACCCTCTGAACTTCGAGCCATACGGTTGATCATATAAATCCTGCAGTACCGTAAGGACCCTAAACTATGGGCATTATGGCATTTTCCTTATTATGGGTACTGCAGGATTTGTATCATCAACCGTAGTAAACCCCCTGAACCCAAAGGGTCCTGAAGCTAAAAAGGGCGGAACCTCGAGTGACTCTCGTGAGCGACCCTTAGCTGTAGACATCACAGACCTCGTGGCCCCCCCCTTCTTTCGCCATTCTCCTCCGGGCTCTGATGATCGAAGAGGCCGCTGCTTGTCTGGGCTTGCGGTAAAAAGTTGTGTAGGAATGGCGGGAAGTTCGATATAGTGGAAGTGCGTCGAGGACTTCCCAGCCCGTTGCCGCACCAGTATCATTCTTCATGTTAAAAATCGGTAATCAATCACGGCCAAACTCCCAGTCGCTTTGGGGATTTGGCCGGGGCTTGCTTGGCCCAGGGGACTTAGTAAGTAGGTTATAAGTCGGGTTATAATTGGGGTAACTCCATTTAGGGTACTTATAACCGTACTTATGACCTACTTGCTGAGTCCCCTGGGCCTCCAAGTAGAGGGCGTTTATGAACCTCGATCCTGAGGCTGGAAGCCTTCAAAGTCCCTAAGCATCTCCAAGGCAAAATCAAAGCTTAGAGCCCGATAAGGGGTTCCTCTGTCAGCCCATTTAATGCGAGATAGCATGGCACCACGATGTTCTGGAAGTGATTGTTTCGATTTTCGGGATTCTGGCGCAAGGCTGAAGATTTCGCCTGAAATCAGGCCCAGAACCTGAACAAACATCATATATACGATCGAAAGCCCGGACCCCGAAATCATCAAAGCTTCTAACACTTGCATCTTGCCGGGAGTTCCAGTTTAAGCCTTTTGGTCTTGGCAGGTCCAGACAATGCAAGGCTCGCCGGATATGTGCCTCTTCGGGTCTAGGTTTGCGGAAGTTCATCATCAGGACCAAAACTCAAACCCCAAGCATCCCTAAACCTGCAACCCTAAACCCCTAAACCCTAAACCCCAAGCATCCCCCAAACCGTCGATGGGGTTTTACGCAGATGTTGGGTGCGTTTTGCAGGGCTTGGGGCTGACACCTGCATCCGTTTTTTTTTCAAAGAGTTAACGGTTCGATTCTTCAGTTGTGATCCCGAGCATAACTTTGAAAGCTTGAACAATTTGCAAGACCCTTCTTTAGCGTTCCTTAGTATGAGCATAGTATAGCATACCCCTACACTCTACCCTTTCCATAAGACCCCCACATTGATGTGGGATTTCGCCTACACAGCCCTGTGCTTCATGGTAGCTTTGCCGCCGTCGCATGCCTGTTCTTTGAATTGGCAGCTTGCTCTACTTTTTCACTGATGTAGCCACGTGGTCATGTTTGGTTGCAGATGCCCTTCTGATCTCCTTTTCTTTGAAAGATTCGCATGCTCATTGTTATCATTTAGGGTTGAGGGTTTAGGAGTCTAGGGCTTTGGGTTTAGGGTTTATCCCTGACTCTCTTACTTGGTTTGCCCATGCTCCGAACTTTGGCTGTTCCGGTAGGATGGGGGCTGGAGATCGTGCAGCGCATTGGCCTGCCGCTGCTGCTCCTCTGGGGTCTGTACCTCACGGGCCGCAAGAGGGGACACTTGGAGGCTCAGGGGACTTAGTAAGTAGGTTATAAGTAGGGTGATAATTGGGGTAGCTCCATGTCGAGTACTTTTAGTAGTTATAAGTAGGGTTATAGTTGGGGTAACTCCATGTCGGGTACTTATAGCCCTACTAGTAACCTACTTACTAAGTCCCCTGGGTCTCTCAGGGTGAAGCGCCCTTCAACAGCCCCAAGCACGTAACCCTGAACCCCGAAGTCCGTTAATCCGAAACCTTACTCCGAAACCCTAAACCCAAAGCCGTTAAACCCGAAAGCACTGGGAATGCTAAGGCCCTCAACCCAAAAACCGTGAACCCCTGAAGGCCTAGAAACCCTAACGCCCTAAACACTGAGACCCTAAACCCAAAGACCCAAAAACACTAATCCTCCAGCGGCGCCTCGTACCTCGAAGCCCGAATTCTGCCTGGGGGAGATAGGGCTATTTCTTGGTGCAAGCCTTCTTCATCAACTTCGCGCGGTTCCGTCAACCAAGATTCTCTCAACCCCGCTTCCTTCAACCATGTTCCCCGCTTCCCTCAACTCAGATTGTGCGTTTCTTTCAACCCCCATCGCCCGCTTCCCTCAACCCGGATATTGCCGATTCTGTCAACCCCCATCGCCCGATTCCGTCAACGCATACTGTGCTGATTCCGTCAACTCCGCCCCCCCGTCTGCGTGCTGGGGGTTGAGTGAATCTGCGTGCTGGGGTTGAAAGAATCAGGTTGTGTATGGGTTGAACGAAGCAGTTCTTTGGGTTGAAGGAATCATTTCCTTGGACATGGTTGAATGAATCTGCGTTCTGAGGTTGAAGGAAGCAGGTTTTGCGGTTGAAGGCATCCGCGTTTCCGGGTTGACAGAATCCGCGGCCAGTGGTTGACGGAATAATCGGCGAAAAGTTGAAGGAATCCGCGCGCGACCCTATTTCTTTGTTTTGTTTTCGGAAGTAGATAAGCAAGCAAATGAACAAATAGATAAATAGATAAATGAACAAATGTATAAGCATATGTATATGTATATGTATATGTATATGTATATGTATATGTATCTGTATATGTATATGCATATGTTTATGTATATGTACATGTACATGTATATGTATATGTATATGTATATGTATATGTATATGTATATGTATATGTATATGTATATGTATATGTATATGTATATGTATATGTATATGTATATGTATATGTATATGTATATGTATATGTATATGTATATGTATATGTATATGTATATATATATATATATGTATGTATGTGTATGTGTATGTGTATGTGTATGTGTATGTGTATGTATATGTATGTGTGTATGTATGTATGTATGTATGTATGTATGTATGTATGTATGTATGTATGTATGTATAAGTTGTATATTGTGTCATATGTTGCACCATGGTATCAGATTATAACTTGTATTCGAATATGGTCTGTATTATGTTTGCCATTGAAGCTTGGCCCCTGTCAAGAATAGGCCGCTGATCCGTTGATTCAGGCTCGCCCTCGGCAGCCGTTTCGGCCCAAAGGTAGGTCAGGGAAGCCACCGAGATGACTCACTCAATGGAGCTGGCATAGGCAGTGGAGGCCTCCCATTATACGATAAATAGAATAAGGAACCCCCAAAATCCCCAAAATGGTATGAAGGCCCCTATATTGCCTCCTCCCAGAGGCCCCTCTGGCAGCACTAGGAAGCCTTATCTCACGCCTTTCACTTTCGCCAAGCAGCCCGAAACCTCATTGAACGTCACAAGCTTTCTGCACTGAAACAGTTTGGGAGGATTCTTGCAAATTCGGGCTGATCCCTGAATTGGTTCACGGGCGAACAGATCGTTCGAAGCACTGCTCGATGGAGCATTTTTCAGGGTTTAGGGCCACCCTATGCGACTGCCAGCGCCCCATTCTATTCTAGTGCCAAAGCCCTGATACCCAGCGTGAGATCCAAGCCAAACTTCTGCAGGGTTGAGCAACCTTAACCCGTCGACTAGACGAAACTCTGAACCCGAAGGAACTCGAGTTTCCTCATGGCCCCCTCAAGAGCTTAAGGGCGACGTCACCGAAGACTTTGAGCAGTCACCAGGTATTTGTCCAGACTGTGACCAAGTGAGCCAACAAACCATCTGAAGGCTTTGGGAGCATCCATAGCCTCAATAGCAGGACCCCATCCCCCTCCTAAACCCTAAACCCTAAAAGCCAATTTCAGACTCCCCTATCATATCGCAAGGCTGCACATTCGGGCATTGAAGCTCGCAGCTTCCGGCTGCTGCCGATTCCCGTGCTTCGGGCAGCTCAGAGTGAGACATTGCAGTAAAGCTCTAAGGCTTTGGTTTCAAGGGCTTGTATGGTCACTGCCTCTAGACTCTAGACGATTGAGGGTTTAGGGTTTAGGGTTTCCACTTGGAGCTTGGGGAGCTTCACGCCTCAAGCTACCTTGGAACCACGTGCTTTTTTCATGGCTATCTCATCTGGAGCCAGTTGCAGCTACTTCGTCGATGAGGAGGCCAGGACACCTGTGTTGGATGTTGCGCTTGTCAGTAAAGCCATCACTCCATAATCACAAGGTCATGAGTTGCATCAAATATCTAGAACGACAGCTCAGGCAGAAGTTGCAGCCCCGCCGACTTGCAGTTGGTAGTGCTGCTCTACATGCCCAGCAGCGCCTCGTGGCTGCCCCCGAACTACAGAGCAGTTGCTCAACAGACCACATGGGTTCCAACTGTGCGACGTCACGGCAATGTGAGAAGCTTGGAGGAGTTGCTGAGGACGCCACTAAATTCGAACTGTTAGTGTATGACCGGAAGGCCATGCGGAGGTGGTCAGCCTGCTCCTGGAGGGAAGCAATGCGGAGGTTGTCAGCCTGTTGCTGGAGGCCAGGGTGGTGTGGCAAGCTATGGGTCGTTTCCGCACGATTTTAGACACGTCAACAACCACGGAGGGGTTGCTCAGCAGACCACAGAATCCCAACTGTGTGAGGGTGAGTGAGAACGACGACGAGTTCCACACACCACGGAGTGGCCTGTCAGGGAGGCCATCTGGATGTGGCAAGCATGGGTGGCGAGCGCGGATGTGAACCGCGAATGTGGTATGTACGGGCAGGAGACTACTTCCCTGGGTGTGGCCTGCGAGCGTGGTGCAGATGCTCCTCGAGCACCTTGCAGAACAAGACCTTTGCCACTACTCCATGGAGCGCAGTTCCCGGTTGTCTTGGCACCTGGTATTGTGAGGACCGGATAATTACAGATTTGCGTTTAATGTCTCATAGTCGCGAAATTTGAATCTCCGTTTCGTCGGGTTGTGACCGCAAGACGATCTCAGGCAGCCCGTGGTGGGGACGTCGACATGATCTGCATGCTCCTGGCGGCTGCGGCGCTCAGTCTTCTCCAAGCTCATGGAGCAGATCGCCAGCCTCTGCGTCACAGCTGGCTGGGCGGAGGCTTTGCGACTGTATGTTAAAGCGCGCAACCGCTCAGAGCTTACGTGGTGCTCTGGTTTAAGACGGCTCTGTGTGACTTAGGCTTCGGCGGCTTTCGGCAACGTTCACATTTCGGGGCTCGGGTTTAGGCTGAGCTCCTTCGGGCTTGAGTCGTTTTGGACATGCATGATTGTGTGGAGCTCAACTTATGTTACCCCTCTCGGGATGTTTGGCGTCAGTTGATTGGACTTAGAGATTTACGACATCTAATTTCTCCCACTGCTTTCCATGTGGGGAGTTCTGCGGAATATGTCAGAACATTGCAGGTGACGTTCCAAGACATTTTGCAGAATATGAACGGCGCCGGCTGTATGAGGTCGCCAAGCTGTGCACAGGAATGATAGCTCCCGGTCTCCGGGGCTGCCGTCAGATGTGCACATGTGGCGACCTGCGAACTGTGCTTTCTGGGTGGAATGGCGGCTGCTATTACGGCTCCATGGAACTACATGCTGATCCGCTTCTTCACAGGTTGCGCCGGCGCCACGTTTCGCGACCAATCAGTTCTGGTGCTCGCTGATGTTTGCGCCCAACGTTGTTGGCATGGCCAACGCCACTGCCGCCGGTTGGGGCAATTTGGGAGGCGGCGTGACCCAGAATGTTTTTGATGTCAGTACTTTTCAATCCTATGGTGGCCTCCGGATTGGAGCCGAATGTGTCTTGGCCTGTCTCCATGGTGGTGCCAGCGGTCATGATCGTGGTTTGTGCCATTCGCATGAAACATGGGCTGGGATATGCCTGCGGCACGCAACTACGATCCGGCCTATCTTCCGTATTCAGCTTCGAAAACGTGGACACTTCGCAGCCTTGGTGGCATTGACAGTCTTGGTTGGCTTCTCGCTCTTCGTGCGGATGGCTGAGGGCACCTCCCGCGGCATCGTGCCATTTATGAACCGAAACTAGGTAACTAGGTATTTATTTGGGATTTTGGATATTCCGTTTTGTTCCACATAAATTTCTGATCCCTAAGTGTAAATTATTTTGGGGACTGTTAAATTCGACACTTAGGAAAGCAGCTCGAAGTCTCCGCTTGTGGGTGCCGGTGGAAATCTCGGGGCGGTGATTGGATGCCCTGCTGCCTTTCCAGGCCCATGCGGGCCATGTCATGTTATGGGCGCTGCTGAGCCTTTGCCACTCGAATCGTTTCTGAAGTTGTGCTGCTTTATTTGCTGGTGATGCACCACCAGCTGTCCTGCTTGGCCATAGCCGCTGCTTGCACACTGTCATGTTCCAGATGCTCTGTGTCTGGAACCGTGTTGGCCCATCAGTCACACACGCCACGCGCACCTGCGCAGCTGGAAGATTCAGCCGGTCCTTTGTCCACATGAGAGATGGCTTTATGAGATGTTCCTTCGCAGGTTCCAGATTCCAGCGCCTGGATAAGAAAAAGTTTCGAAGTCGAGCGACTCCCTGCCGGCGAGAGGCAATCAACCCAGCTTTCGTGAAACCTGGAGTTTCAAGCGCTGACCATTGCCTAAAAGCGGTGTGCTCACAGATTCAGCTCATTTACTTATTCAGCCTCCATATTCGGATCGTTGTCCGTGTCTCATTTCGCTGACTTGCGTTGGATTATCCAGGGCAGGACGGGGATCTAAGCGTGTCCTAAGCGAGCCCAGCCAAGGGTCGCAGTCGCAGTCATCAAGGGATGTCCCGGCAATCGGCAGCATGTCAATATGTCGTCTGTGGCAACACTGTAGTACGCGGCTGCAGCCCACCCACCTGTCAAGGGGTGTTCCTAGGGCGAGATCGGCTGACGGACGAGCCATGAACAAGAAACCGTCCCAACAAGGTCCTAGTTTTGTCTGCTCAGGTGGGGCCCGCTTCATCATGGGCGTCTCGCAAGCCTGGCAAAGTTCCGCATGATCATGGCTCCTACTGCAACTAACATACAGCTGCCTCAGTTACATGTGTATGTCTACACACATATGTGTGAGCAAGAGGGTTTCTTATACCACAGCTATGCATAGCTTCCGTGTTGTACGCTACTGGATGCTAGATGTCCATTAACATAACGTAGCAAGATGTACCGTGATGTACTGTAACAGACTGTAATATACTATGTTACACCATGATATACTGCCTTTGAGGGTTTTTGCTGCCTCATCTGAGGGAGGCTTCGACCTCTTTGTTAACTTCAGGCCCTTCTTGCAGCAAGAACTTGAGGTTGAAGCTGTAAAACAAGTGACGGTCCATCTCTACGTCAACCTGGTCTGCTGAAGTTGTAGGCAATCATCCTCGATGTTTTGTGCTTGTTGGTGTTTACATAGGGCGGACAGTCCTCTTGAACTAGATGCCCCACGGGTGCTTCCCCCTGCCATTCTTGCTGTCGGTTCTTAATTCCTTTCGATCTTGCCTCAGCTGTATCCCAGGGTAGGCGAGTGAAGGCAGAACTTCTGGAGCCCAGAGAGCCCAATACCCCTTAATTAAGGAATATAGCTTAAGTCATCATATGAAGCCCTATATATAATTTAAGCCATGTTCCTTAGTTAAGGGGTATTGGGCTCTCTGAGAGTGTGCTGCCAGGCTGGTGTACTTGTTGCACTGCGTGACCCTGGAGTTGCTGCTCAAGGCGTGGTTCATCGAGGAGTGTCGTCAGCATGATGATCATCGCAGTTTTGGGTTTCATTGCTGTTGTGGTGGTGGTGATGGTGATGGTGCACAAACCTACGCCAAAACCACCAGCAGTAACCACACTGCTAATGTAAATCTGCCGGGCAGAACAGGGAAATTACCTCCATGCAGTGACCGAAGGATTGGCTTCGCTTCCAGTGCACAGCCAAAAAAGCCCAGAAGATAGAGGAACTTAACTCTGGACCTGTCTTTGCTCAATGTGAGTTTTCGAAGAGGGCTATGCAAGTCTAAGGCCTCTGAGTGACAGCGACAGCGATGGGTGCACAGACGACAGCTGCTCTTTGGAGGTTTTAACTATCTTCACAGATCCTGCTGGGGTGCAGCCGAAAGCCCTTGCCCCAGCTTTGACTCCTTTTGATCCTTAACTCCAAGCTTTAGCTCAGTTTGGGGTTCAAAGGGCACTCCTACCATTCGCCATCTCGAGTCGCCTAACATTTTAGAGGTGTTCAACTAACAGTGTTTAGCCTTCTGGGTCAGCTTGCGTTTGCCGTTGTAACCTCTGTGGAAGAAGGCTGTAACATACAATAAGCATATACAAGAATTTGCTACAGCGTGCTATAGTGCAATCTACTGTATGGCGTACCGCAATACATCATACTAATCATATACCGCAGTACCATGTAGTGGCCGTCATCTCCATCCTGCCAAGGCCTCGGAGACAGCTCCAGAGCTTGTGGATGAACAGAAATCCTTGCCGCTGCGAGGATGCAAGGCCAGGAGCTGAACATTTCAATGTTAGTAGTATTAAGTAAAGGGAGTCAGCAATTAAGAAATGCATAGCTGCAGTCTATTTATAAGGTAAGGTTCACACCTACCTACCTACCTACCTATCTACCTACCCACCCACCCACCAACGTACCAAGCCGGAAAGGGCATGAGTGCCGTGTCCGGCAGCGCCTTGTCCCTTCCCAGCTCAGGCCGTCGCGGGTGAGCTCAGCCTGCCAAAGTTGCAGACACAGCCTTCCAAGAGGCTCCGAAAGTGCGGAGTTCGGATTTTGGTAGATTCCGCTGGTGCTCTACCATGCAAGGTCATCGAAGGCTTCCAGTGAACCTCCAGCAGGGCAGCAGATGGAGTATGGAGGCAAGTTCTTGCTGAGCACTCTTCCGAGCACTGTATGCTACCAGGGACTATGACCACTCTAGGACCTCTTCGAAGTCTCAGACTTCGGACTCGTGTGGTGCACCTCCAACAGTGGAAGCGTGGGGTATCTGAAGTGCGCTGTTTCAAGCCTGGTTCCCTGCACTACAGCACGGATCCTGAACCATCGCCGTCAAACCCCAATACTATTTTGGGGGTCCCCTACGAATTATGACTATAGTGTAAGATCCCCCAGACCCTATTCTAATTACTAGGGCCCCTATGTTAAGCTAGTTGAAGTGAGATTGAGAGGCAGCACTAGCAGCACTTCAAGGAGTTTCCTGCACTTGGGCCGGAAGCCAAAGGAGGCTCCGGGGTACTTAAACGACCTGCACGACTGATATGGGAGTTTCCGAAAATGGGGGTACCATATCTTCGGGTCCTTATAACAAGGATCCTACTATTTAGAGTACCATATTAGGGTCCCATAATTTTCGGAAACTCCCATATGCCTCTGACAGCTGAAGCTGCAGAATGCTGCAGTGGTTGGCAGTTGGGGTTTCTGGCTTCGGCGGTTACGGTAGGGTATATAGGGTCTTAATCATTACCCACGCTATTTTGGGAGTTCCTTATTATACCTTCTCGTATAACATACCCCAACACGCTATTCTAATTATTAAGGCCCCTATACCAACCCTACACCCTAAACCCTAATCCCTATAAGCCCTAAACCCCCGAAACAACCGGTAACATACCCCAAAGCCTCAAAATCCCAAAGCCCTAGACCCCAAACCCTAAACCCACAAAACCCCATTAAAACAGCCAATCTGATGCCTCCGCTTGTGAAGGAGACGGCTCTCGGCATTGTCGAGGATGAAGCGTGGCTTCAGAGGCGGCGATGTCTCCGCCGAGGGCTTAGCCACCCTAAGTAGGGTATAGGGTAAAGGGTAGAGGGTTTAGGGTTTGGGATTTATGGGGTTTATAGGGCTTACAGGGTTTAGGGCACGCTGAGACACATCGTCTCGCTCGAGCTTGCAGTTGGTTCTCCAGTCATAACAAGCAGCCATGCTCTCACCAACGCCAAGCCCAAGTTAGCACATAAAATCTCTTGTCTGGTTCTGAGTAGGGACTGGGGGAATGGACTATGGGACTGCTATTGGGGATTATATAGGGACTATTATAGGGATCCATTCCCTACTAAGCAACTATTGGGGATTATATAGGGGCTATGAAAAGGAATCCATTCCCTACTAAGCCCCCGACAGCCCAAGGAGAGGGTGCCGAAGTTCATCGGCAAGTGAGACAGTATGTTCAGCAAAAGGCCGGTCCCTTGCTTGCTTACTTGGGCCTCAAAGGCCTGGCAAAAGGGAAGTTCCTCATCAAAGCTGTCGTCTCCGTGCTTCGAGGCCCAGGGGACTTAGTACGTCGGTTATAAGTAGGGTTATAATTGGGGTAACTCCATTTAGGGTACTTAGAACCCTACTTATAACCTACTTACTAAGTCCCCTGGGCCTCTAAGTGGTGGTGGTGGTTGGGGTTTTCGCTCATCAGCCCGTGCATCATGAGCCTCCTCCCTGTTCATTCATTCACTCGCCGCAGAAGGGAGTGCGATGCGGTATCCTAAGGGCATACGCTCCCCTATATCATCCTCCCTGTGATGATGATGATGATGATGATGATGCTGATGACCCAATGAGTCAGCGTTGGTTTTCAGTAGCAACCATATTGAATGGAGAGTGCCCTTTCGCCCAAAGCTGTGTTCGTGCACGTAGGTTGACATTTGGGAGTTTCCGAAAATACGGGGTACAGTACCTTATTCTGGGGTCCTTATAATAAGGATCCTGCTATTTAGGAGGGTACTCTATTGAGGTCCCATATTTTCGGAAACTCCCATGTGGCTTGTCACCAACGCAGGTTCGACCTGGAATGGAGCTTTTGGAGATCGCAGAGATGGTTCCGGCCCTGAGCAGACTCGGACAGGGAAACATCACATTGCACTGGCTGGTGAGCGAACTCTCTCAAAACACTCACTTGCGTACCTTTCGCGGCACTCCTCCCTAAACCCCGGACCCTAAGCCTTAGAAAACAAAAGCCCTAAACGCCGTGGTGACTGCAACTGTCAAGGTCGAGCAGGCCCGTCGCCCAGAGTGCGAACTGCACCTGTGTCGGCCTGTGGCTTCCCCTAAGCCCTATCCCCAAAACTCGAAATCCCTAAAACCCTACATACACCCTAACGCTCTAAATCCCCAACGCCCCTGAAGCCTCAAAGCCATCCACCCTAAATCCCCCTAAACCCCTAAACTCTGGAACGCCTTAAACCTACACGGCTACATGGAGGAACCCAAAACCCTAAACCCTAAAACCCCAAACCCAAACCCTGAACCCTAAACCCTAATCTCTAAACTTTAGACTCTAAACATAAGCCCTCAAGTCTAAACCTTAAACCCTAATCTCTAAACCATAAGCCCTATAATCTAAACCCTAAGCCCTAAAGTCTACACCCTAAACCCTAGGAGCCCCTTCTTTTGCTCCAGGCCTCCTCCAGCCTCGTCGGCTTCGACCCGCGGAATCCTCTCAGGCTGTGATACAGTCGAGTAAGGGCTGATAGGTTCAAGTCCCTGTACAGACGTAAACGTGTGAGTGAGTGTGTGTGTGTGCGTGTTCATATGTATATATTCTGCACATATCGGTTTACATATATACATGTATGTATGTATGCATGTATGTATGTACGTACGTGCGTACGTGCGTATGTATGTATGTATGTATGTATGTAGCAGCGCTGCTAGGCCCCCCCTCCCCCCCCGCTCCATGGTATCCCCCCCTTCCCCCCTGTGGTTCCCTGGTGTGGGTTCCCCCCTGCCCCTCCCCGCTGAGGTTGCGGTCGGCTGCGCCCCCGTCCATGGGTATGCGTCCGGTTGCTAAGGGTTTGGACCGTAGGATGTGATACAGTTCTATTGAACTCCGAGCTGCCCTGAGCTCCAAAGCCAATGATAGAGATGAATATGATGGTGATGATAATGACGAAGATGGTGCTCATGATCCCCATCCGCACTCTCATCAGGTCCCTTGCTCAAAAGTCCCGAATGACAACCATTCAAATACGTGCTCAAGCTTACTTGTAGCGAACCCAACCGAAACTTGGCTTGGAATGACAACGGTCGATATGTTTTTCCCAAGAACATCACAAGCCAAGCACGGTTTTCAACTGGATAAAGCGATGAACATGCGGTGCCGAAGCCCAGAGCAACATAAGAGCAAAGGCTGCAAAGGTACCACCAATAGCGACACTGGGACTAGCACATCAACATCATTGCGCACAACATTCTCATTTGTGCTCGAAGAGAGGGGAAGGGAAGGGGCCCGGTGGTTCCCTGTGTTGATTATCCTTCCCCACCCCGCCCCTGTGGTTCGCCGTCTTGTGGTTCCACTATTGTGGGTTATCCCTCCCGCACCCACCCCCGATTGCCAAGGCGAGAGGCGAGGCCTGGCTTGGGGGGGGGAGTTACGCGGATGACGTGTGACTGTTTGATTGGACGAGACGCCTGGCTTCGGGGGGGGGGGGTGGGGGGGGGGGGCCTGCGACGCGGCGACGCGGCACCATGTATGCATGTGTGTATGGGTGTATGTATGTATGCATGTATGTATGTATGTATGTATGTGTGTATGGGTGTATGTATGTATGCATGCATGCATGTATGTATGTATGTATGCATGCATGTATGTATGTATGTATGTATGTGTGTATGGGTGTATGTATGCATGCATGCATGTATGTATGTATGTGTGTATGGGTGTATGTATGTATGCATGCATGTATGTATGTATGTATGTATGTATGTGTGTATGGGTGTATGTATGTATGCATGCATGGATGTATGTATGTATGTGTGTATGGGTGTATGTATGTATGCATGCATGGATGTATGTATGTATGTATGTATGTATGTATGTGTGTGTGTGGACATATAGGTGTGTCTGTCTGTGTTTGTCCAGGCGGGGCTGGGCCTTTCCGACCGGATTGTCCCTGAACGAAGTCGCGGGGAGCCTTGCCCGTGCGCTTGCAGCTTTTCATGACGTATCTCGTTGTCTCCTGGCGCGCGATGTTTTCTGGCATGTGGTGTTTGGTGTGTAGGAGAAATTCCTCTCAGGCCCTGGACCCTAAGCCGAACTCTAAACCCTGAGCCAAGGCCGCACATGACACCGTGAACCCCGGCGATCCGGCTCGCTGGCTTCAGCCGGTCGCGTGGCAAAAGCGGTCCTTGCTTCTGAACTGGGAGAGCTAGTGTTCATGGCGTCATTGGCAAAGGCGGACATCCTCAAGATAGACTTCGGTGTCCACGCTGCCGCCTGAGCTGTCGGAACATCCTACTCTAGGCTCTTGGACTAGCTGTGCTGAGGAAATTCTAGTACCCTTACAGATCCCTTATAGTAGCCCTTACAGACCCCTTTAAAGGAACCCCTATTCCATTTATTAAGGCCCCTACACTGGTTCTAAGGTGCAAGGGAACATACTTGACAGCGCTTTCTCCGTCAGCTTCGATCCCATGCATGATGAGCCAGAGCCTCGGAGGCTCTGCTCCTTTAGGGTTCACGGTTTAGGGACCCTAAGCCCTAAACCGAAACCCTAAACCCCCAAACTGCTCTTGGGACTCTTGTGCTGCTACCGGCGAGACTGCGTAGGGTTTGACGAGAGTAGTTTAACGAGAACGACCACCTTGTCTCTAGTGGTCCCAGCCCCAGTTGAAAGCCAAGATGTCTTTTGGACACCCACTGCCTCCAGTCAAGTATGGAGAACCGATAATTTTTCAGATCAGGGTTTCGATGCCCTGTGCATCTGTACCAGACCATGCTCGCTGATCTCAGGCTCATGCGCACGGTGCAAGAAGCCACGGAGACTGGCATTAGGACTGGATCTTGTGAAGTCTTGACCGCACATCCCGGGCTGAAATGGTGATCAGCTGATTGTCTCCTCGGTTCTGCGACAGACTTTGGATCTTCGGTGACCGTTCAGTGCCACAGACTTGCAAGCAAGACAAGCGCAGCTTGTCTGTGTAGCTGAAGGGACAACGTCGCAACCCCCAGGACCGGAGCCTTCGGACCTGTCGACTGTCGGCTGTGCCAACCCCTGTGCAGCAGTTGATTAACCGTACTTAGCAAACGGGAGAGCTTTGCACTTTTTAGCCGTTTTAGCCTTACGTTTTTTGATCCATGATAGAAAGTTTGAGCTTTTTGTGGCCCGGGTATTGGAGAAGAGAGTAACATAGGAACCTTAAAGTTTTCTGAAGGTATTCCTTAGAGCCTTAGGGTTCCTTGTTGTTACTCTAGCAAGAATGTCTCCATACCCTCTCGAAAGTGTTGGGAGCCTGTATCGCTTTGATCCAGCGAGGAATGCTGGCCCGGATGCGTGGATTTCGGAGATCAGCAGCCAGATCCGTGAGGTGATGGAGTCAGGGGAGGCCGATTGCTCTCTCTTGTCTCCCATGTTCGGATTTAAGGTTCACGGGTTTAGGGTTTAGGGTTTATAGGGGTTTAGGGTTCATGACTTCATAGTATGTTGGGGCTTCGAGCTGTCAAAGTCTTCATAGCAATGTAGGGTTTGACTGCGGGATGGTGCTGAGACGCAAAAGCTTCCGGAACCCGCACTCGAAAAATGATCAGCGAAGCTCGGAACCCTAAATCCCTGTACCCCGAACCCCAAAAAGCCAAATCACAATCCGACAAACCCAGCCGCCCAAACCCTAAACCCCAATACCGACACACCAAACTCTAAAAACTAGAGATGAGGACTTTGTGCAACACAATCGGCAGGTTCCCACAGCGTCCTCCTCTGAAAACCTAGTACCGACACATGGGTGGTTGTCAAAATTATGGTCCCTTTTTGGGTACCCCAAATTATAGGTGCCGTATTATAATAATACCCCAAAAAGGGACCCTAATTTTGACAACTACCCACATCCAGACTCTTCATCCCCAAACCCTAAATCCCCAGCATTCGGCCGGGTTCGCAGGTGCATCGGCCCGATGGTAAGGTCTTTCGAGTCAAGGCACCGGTGTTCAGATGGCTCAGGGTGTAAGCTGAGGTTTTTGGGCTCGGGGATATAGTGTTTGGGATGTTTGGGTTTTGGGTTTTAGGCTTCACGGATGTTGGGTTTAGGGGTTTTGGGGTTTAGAGTTTGGTGTTTATATTGCCTTGGATGTCGTTTCTGTAGTTCAAGGCATTTGGAGGTTTCTCAGAATAGGGGACCCTAATATAGTACCCTAAATATTAGGATCCTTATTATATATAAGGACCCCCAGAAGAAGGTACGCCTTAATTTATGGAAACTGTCAAACCCTTATAGAGCCCTTTAAAGGAACCCTTATAGTACCGTTATAGTAACCCTTTATAGGAACCCTAAGGAACCCCCTAATTTTCGGAAGCTCCCATTTAGGGGACACCGGGCCACAGGTCATCAAGAACTTGACGGGCCACTTAATCGGACCCTACAAAATCCATGCCGGGAAGCCCGCGGCTCAGCACGCTTGTGAGGAACCCCTTTAGCGGCTGCATTGATAGGTTTTGGAGGGGCACACTTGTGAGGAAACGATCTCCGGCTGCTTTGACGGGTTTTGGAAGGTGTCATATCTCCATCTTATATACCTGGTATCCATACGCAATGTTGTTGCACACCGGTGCGCTTCTTGTGCTGTGGTATTCTCCTTGTTACAGTCGAATCTATAACTAGTCGAGTCCTATAATATAGTGGCCTTAATAATAAGAATAGGGTAGTTCTCTTGCTCAGGCGCCTTCGGCTTTTTCCATGCAACAGGGACCCTACTCCCTCGTCTAAGCAATCTTAATGAGAAGCTCTGGGTTCAACTTGCGTCATGATGCCACCTCAGACGGTAATTACCCAGAGAGCCCAATACCCCTCAATTAAGGAATATGGCTTAAATCACAATAAAGCTTTATATAACTTAAGCCGTATTCCTTAATGAAGGGGACCCCTTGGGCTCTCTAAGTAATCTACCCATTTCTACCGAAACATCCCCCAAACCCCCAAGCTCCCAAGCCCTAGAGCCCTTGCCCTCAAACCCCTAGTCTCCGGTGCCCCTGAAACCGAGTCCTTCGGTTGATGACATGAATCCCTAGGGTTCCTTTAGAGGGATCTATAGGGGTAGCTTTAAGGGCTTCCTTTAAGGGATCTATAGGGTTTAGGGTTGATGATATAAATCCTGCATGACCTTAAGGACCCTAAAGTATGGGAGTTATGGTATATTCCCTATTACGGGTAACGCAGGATTTCTATCATCAACAGTTAAAGCTGAGACTTCGCTTCACTCTTAGACTCTTGGGCCGCCTTGGAGCTGAAAGTGTGTCTCTGAATGGGGAGTTTCCGAAACTCAGGGGTACCATATTTTTGGGGTCCTTACAAAAAGGATCCTACTATTTAGGGTACTACATTAGGGTCCCCTATTGTCGGAAACTCCCAATGAGGTCTCTCCCATCCGTGAACACCGGTGGCAGGGTGCGCATTGCCGGGGTCTATGGTGTGGGTCTGCATTCTTGGTCCCGATCGTGTTTTGAGGTTGAGGCAAGAGTGGAGTTTATGGAAAGCTCCGGAAGTTTGAGGATGGCGGTTGGGAGTTTAGGAATTGGCGTGATTGTTACGGAGCCAAAGGGGTGTCGGGGCTGTCAGGACTTTCAGCTGAGAGAGGTTCTAGGGTGACGTGTTCTTGCGCTCAGCTTAGTGGTTCCGTAAAGTGATTAGGCCTTGCATATAGCTTGACCCCAACCGCCCCTACGCCTAAGAGCATCCAAACAGTGCTAAGTTCCCAGAGAGCCCACTACCCCTTAACCAAGGAATATGGCTTAAATCATAAAAAGACCCTCTACGGTTTAAGCCACATCCCTTAATTAAGGGGCCCCTTGACCTCTCTGGGTTGGGCATCGTCCCTACATCTCTGCGCAGGAGCGCATGCTCGCTGGAGAGCTCTGGGCAGCGGGAGCCCATGAGACGACAATGCCGGAGTGACCCGAGTACCTGGAGGATCATGGGACTTAGCAATTGGGGTCCTCAAGGGGTCTCTTTAAGGGAATCTATAGAGGTACTATAAGGGTTTAGGGTTTAGGGTCTACTTAAAGGATCATGGGGACTAAGACTTAGTAAGTAAGGTTATAAATAGGGTAACAATACATATAATTACTTATAACCCCAGTTAATGTACTTATAACCTTGCTAAGTCCCAGGATCCTCCAAGTATGTCCACTCACGAAACTGCGGCCCAGGCGCGGAGTAATGAGGACGTAGTAGCCGTGGTAGAGATACAAGTCTCGCTATCGGTTGTAGCTGAAACCCTGCAGGGGTAGAAGCAACTAGACTATCTTTGTTCCAGCGGCGAATCACCTGAGATCTTTCCGAGGTTGAGACGTTTGGCTCGGTGGGCGGGCTCGGATACGTGGGCAACGGAGGCGGTCTCCGTGATGCTCCGATGCCGTCGTAGCAGCAGCATCGTACATGCCATGTTGAATATCAGCATCGTACATGCCACTTTGAATATCAGCATCGTACAGGACATGTTGAATATATATAATTATATATATATATAGAGTTATATATATATGTATATTCAGTGGCTGTGTCACACTACGTCAGCATGAACCAGGCTTACATAACCTTTCGAAAGAAGGCCAATACAAACCCCCCAACACGCCTTAAACCCGAAACCTAAGCCCTAAGGTGCCCGATTCAAATCCTATTAGTTATTATCATGTTTTTAAGTGCGATTGTTTGTTATTAATGTTATTACTTTTGTTATTTTATTTTTAATTTTTTATTGTCATTATTATTGTTTTCATTACTATAGTTGTTATTATCATTGCGGATGGGGGAGGCAACTGCTCGCACTTCATGCGCTCGTCGGGCTCCGCGCCGGCGCAGTGGCAGAGGCATCCACACCCCTTCGAGTTCGTTGTGAAGGTTCAGGTGTTCAGAGTTTCAAGTTTCGGGCGCAGGATCCAGAATCAATATTTCGGGTTGGGTACGGCACCCCACTCAGTAGTAAGTAGTCGAATAATATTCAGAATATATATATATATATATTTTTTTTTATTTAAGGCCCTTAATAGTAGCCCTATTATGGACTGTTACGGTATGGGGGCAGTACCTAACTTTCGTGGCTTGGGTTTCAAGTTTAGGGTTCAGTTGCAGGGTTCGAGAATGTCCGGCCAGGTTTCCTTGCTCGGCTTCCGTATTTACAGGGGACTCGTTTCGGGTCCAGTCATTTGGGAGCTTCCCCGGATCCTAATATGGTACCTTAAGTAGGAGGATCCTTATCATATGGACCCCAAAATAAGGTACGCCTAGTTTTCGGAAACGCCCATTTCGATGCAGGTTCGATAACGGTCTGTGCCTTCGCAGGTGGCTGTCGTGCACAGTGCACCCGGGTTGTGGTGGTAGACTTGCTGGCATGATGCCTTCGTAAGCATTTACTCAGGCTGAGCTGAGTATGTGTCGCTCTCGGGCTTTTGCAAGTGTTACCCTTAAGCCTAAACCCCTACCCCTGGCTCTACCTACTAGGTATTCCAGCTGTAGCAGGGAGGAAAACGGCCCTCAAAAAAAACCTTCCCCCACCCGCCCCCCTTTCTGCATAGACGGGCAGGTCCATTCTGAGTTCCAGTGCTGTGAACCTGTGGCAGACTCAGCCTGATGCACCGCAGGAAAGCACAGGACACCTGAACGCTTCTTATAGGCACCTTTTAGTAAAGTTAAAAGAGATTTTACAATTAAATTCCCCAAACTCTAATTAAACATATTGTTCTTAACACCCCTCTGCTTGGCTTCTGTTGGCCATTTTACTTGACTTTTTGCAATTGTCAGAGCGATGGTTGGCGAACATCTGTCGGCTGCAGGTTGGATCTCATAGATCAACGCTTCGGCACTCTGGCCTTTTGCCCACGGTGGATTCTACAGGTCCGAGGCTCTGCCCATGGGGTGGCTCTTGCAGTGTGTCAGTACTTCTCACTATGTCACGGTGACCTAAACCCTGAATCCTACACTCCGAAACCCTAAACCCCACACTGCTAAACCCCAAAGCGCTAAGGCCACTCAGCAGAAGAAGCCCAAGACGGCGACTTCCGACCAGGCATCACACTGTGAGCAGGTCCTCATTCATTGCAAACTCGATCTCTAGGAACTCGATACCTGGATTGGCAGCAAGCCGGGACACAAGTCAGCTTTGTCCGTCGCGTGGCTTGTAGTTGCGACGTGAGTATTGGCACGAAAGTGAGCACATACTTTTGTGCACGTGCACGCATGTGTACATGTTTGCACATATGCACGCGTGAACATGCGTTTGCACATGTCAGTCGCATCCACACACACACACACACACACACACACACACACACACACACACACACACACACACACACACACACACACACACACACACACACACACACACACACACACACACACACACACACACACACACACACACACACACACACACACACACACACACACACACACACACACACACACACACACACACACACACACACACACACACACACACACACACACACACACACACACACACACACACACACACACACACACACACACACACACACACACACACACACACACACACACACACACACACACACACACACTGATGGATTCGGCCAAGAGTACGAGTGCAAGAGGAAAAAGAGAGGCATGTTGTTCTTGCTTGTTGTCGCATCAAACTTCAATTGTGGCAATTGAAAATCTAATCTTGGCACAGGGGCCTTCTAATCTGGCTGGCACAGGGGCCCCAGCTCAATTTTATGCAGGTACGCCAGACTGATCAGGTCTGGTATCCACCATTACGCATAGCTTCGTTGGCATGCGTTTGCGTAATGGCCGCATGCCCCCTGCAACAGTTGATTTGGTAAATGTCCAATGCCGGATTGTGTTGAAAAGCGAAATTGCAAACAGTGTAGGAGTGACCCTCTGCTCCCATGTGCTAGGGAGGTTCACACACACACAGCCCCAATGGGGCGTACATGCTTCAAGTAGAGTGAAAGGTCTGATGCGCGGCAATAGGAGTGAATGGCGCACTTTTCTCGCTGTCAATAGCGATCGGGTGATTGTCGTATTTCCTGATCCGAACAGGTTCTAACAAAAAGCACCGGCATCAACGTGGCTAATGTGGTGACTGAATCCCAATCATGTAGTCGTCGACGGTTTTGTTCGAAGAAGAAAGCTGGGATTTTAGGAGTTCTGCCGGTGATCTCCTTGATGCGGTAGGAGAAGATCTTGCGAGCTTGGAGAACGTTGTCACCCAGACAAAGCACCACGTGTAAGAACATGTGCTTGTCTCTGGTGATGCGGTCGGGTGGAATTTCAACAGTCATCCGAAAACATTGTCCTGCCATGGAGTACCATGGAAGGCCGGCCTCGGCAGCCTTTCGCTTTGTCATATTTTTGCTGCTACCAACCGACAAAAGCTTGAACAAGGAATGCAAATCAACATGGACATGATGTGTGCTCTGGCAAAACAACAAAGTGGTGTCGTCCTGACACTCGCATGCGCAGGCTTTTTTGTCACGCTTAGCGGATCTTGCAGCCCTAATCCGTCCTGAGAATTAGGGTCCAACAGCGAGTTTGTTGGGACAGTCACTCATGATCTTGAAATGGCATCGACACCTAAAACCTGCACGTACCAGCATTTTTGCACAAGCGGTTTTGGACCGCTTGTGCTGAATAGTAGGATGCACAATATCGTAAGGTGCAATCGAGTCAGAAGACCAAGGATCTCGAGATGGAGACCGGTGTGCGTCCTCAGCCATGTGTGACGTTGCCGTAGGTGACGCTGATGATGTTGAATGCGAAGAGCGTGTCCTCTTTCGTCTTGTAGTATGTGGATGTTGGCGTCGTTGCTGTGTTGTGGATTGGGATGGTGGTGAGATGTTGCGTGTTTTCTTTGTTTTCATGACTGTTTTGTCCTTTTTGTCTTTGTTGTCTTTCTTCTTTTTTGTCCTCGTTGTGTGCTTTGTTTTTTGCTTGTGTGTGTGACTGACTGCATGGGAGGATGTGGTGGTGTCATCCTTCCTCAGGAAGGCATCAATCTCTTCGGATCCCCATAGGCTGCTGTCGTCGTCCTCGTCCATCTGTGTGCGATCCTAAATATGTTTCAGCAACTGTAGTTCTGAGAAATGGCTGCGGAGTCACAACTGCATTGAGGCATGTGCATACGCTGATCTTCAGAGAGAGAGAGAGAGGTATACAGAGACATCAATTGAGCAACCTCGCCGACCGGCATGAACTTTCAACATGATGCTCTTAATGTTGAACCTCATCAGGAATGATGGAGTTCGCAGCACAGCTTTGCTGTGTGGTTGTTGACTGCCGGGGGCAGCAAATGTGCATCTAATTGTCAACTCAGCAATGTTGCTCACGGAGTTCTTGACCGCTTTCTCTTGTTGGATGTAGGAGTTGATGTAGTAGATACTGTCTCCTTTTGGGTAGGAGTCGTTGATGTCGGACGCTGATCAGGTTGCTCCGAATGCTTTCGTATCCACTCTTGAGATGCGATAAAGTACACACGCCACCATGAAGAGCCGTTAGTGGCCCAATGCCATCTCCATTGTGATGCCGTGGGAGATCGCGATCTGGTGCGTTGTTCCATGGTGCTAACACAACTGGTTGTTTTGCAAAATGCTGCGGGCAAGAGTGCATCAATCGCTGCATACCAAACATATGTGAAGTGAGTGCACTGACTGTCACAATTGGCAACAACGACAATCGTTGTTTTAACCGTCCGCTGCAAAGCACCCAATGGTGGTATGAACATGGTTGATCACCTATTGTTGCGAAGCTTCGAGTCTTTCCACTCGTTGCTTTAGCTCTGTGATCTGCCGGGTTGTTTGCAGAATAAACTCGGCTAATTGGTCGCGTAGAGCCTCGTCACTGAATGTGGAAGGTTCACTTCCAGTTTCGGAATCATAGTCCCGATGCTGTGTCAAAATCTCCATGAGGGCCTCAGAGAGAGCTTCACGTCGTGACTCATCGACGGGTGGCGAATCTGTAGTCACTGTGTTTGTCGGAAGAGATGCTTCGCTCATGGCTCGGTGTCGGGATTCCGATAGGTGTCACTCTGAGGCAAAAACTTCAAAAGGCAAAGTTATGGTGTGTGTCTGAAAGCAACATGTGTTGAAATGCGAGAAGTGTGCACTACCTGGCTCTTTTTATACCAGCGTACCTTAGCAGCATATTCACGACCAATCAGGCGCGTTTTGCCTGATGAGGCTTTCGAGTACGTCGAGCTGCTGTTTGCACGAGGCGAGGATCGCCGTGGTAGCCTCGTGTTGAGTGGTCAACACCGTTGTAGCCTGTTGTATCAGGCGCTCGAGTTTGGCATTCGATTCAAGCAACGAATTGTGAAACTGCGTTATTGCTGCCATAATCTCAGTCGATGAATCCGGATCAGAATGATGCGGAGGTGGAAATGGCGGGGTCGCCGGTGCAGCCACTGCTGCGTCCTGCTGTTCTTCCGGATCTTGGTGTTGCTCTTGGTAATCTTGGAAATCTTCGTCTTCTGCAACACGTAGGAACTGAGAGCGCAAAAGCGCCGGCTGTTGATTGTGGCTGCCAACCGCAGGTTGCTCGTTGCGGCGTCTGCTATGCTTGGAGATGGATGGCCGAGGACGGCCGCTCAGCGCTTTGTGGCTCGGCTGCAATCTGCCAGTCATGGCACTTTTATACATGATGATGCCTCAGTTAAACCCTGTAAATGGCTGCGGGAAGCACTGTGTTGATACAAGGCGGCTCTCATGTTGCAAAGTTGCATGGCTCTGGACACACGCACGGCAACTTGGCACAGTGTTTTGCTTACAGCTGTTGATCAGTATAGCCGGCAGCGATGTAGAGATCGCGCATGGCTCGAATGGCTGATGTGGCCTCGCTGCATGGTGTTGTCACTCTGCGTACCATGCGTGTGCGGGCCTGAAAACTGCTGCGAAGTGTTGCAACAGAGGTGGCTGACTGTGGGTGTAAAATATCCGCCTTGTGCAAAGTGCATTGATGCGTAAGGCTGCTGTGCTGAGGGTTTATGGCGAAACCCAGGAAAATGTTGGCCGGTTCAGTTTCAAGCTGAACCGGTGGTTTGTAGAAAGATGCGTCAGTAAGCTGTGCAAAAGGAGGCAGTCGGGTCAGCTGTGCAGGTAAAAGAAGGACGCGGTTGTCGACGTATCTGGTAGCAAAAAAGAAAGCTTGATCCTGCTTGTTGTGGTCTGGAAAATGCTTGTGGTTCTTGAAAAGTTGTTTGTATGTGTGGTGCCAACACTGTTCTTCGACAGCAACCACGATGTTGCATAGGGCTGGGCTGCAGGGCGAGCCCATAGGTGCACCGCGAAATTGCTCAATGAGTGATGTACCAACAGTGAAATAGTTGAGTCGGAGCACTGCAATGATGAGTTGTGGTATGTGTTGTAATTGTATGCAAAGTTTGTTGCCGGAGGAGGCTTCTTGCTGCTTTTGTCTGCTTTTGCCCCTGTGGACTCGATGTGTGGGGTCTTTCTGTGAGTGGTCAATGAAGAATTTGGAAGAGTGTAGTGGGTTCTTCTCTCTGTACCATCGAACCATGATGCTGTATGCTGAAAGAAACCGGCTCTGATCGACCGATGTAAAGAAGCCAGCCAAATCCTGATTGTACAGGATGTAATCTGTTGAATCTTGTAATTTCCTGCGTTGATGCAAGAAGAGTGCTGTTTGTTTGAGCTGTGTTATCCCGTCTCCTTGGTGAAAGGAGTTTGGGCATGCTTGAAGTGTCATCAGCTGCAGTACGTCTGCTAAGGCTTCCCATAATTTTCGGCCCATGGTGTCGATGAACGCCACTATAGGACGTCCTTTCGCGAATTGCTTCTTTCTTTTCGGTAAAATGTAGGCACGTGGGATGCGGCCCCATTGTGGAAACGCCCATGTGTAAGTTGGTAGAAGACTGCGGATGTCTGTGTAGACATCGAAGTGGTGTTGTAGAGGTTGGCGCTGCGAGATCCGAAAGATCTCTTTGTCTAAAAAAGTGTTGTGTATGGCAGTGTGGTATAGTGCTGGGCAGTACCACGTGAGTCGGTTCGGGAAGTGATCTTCGCAATG